TTACCATCAGTGGTAGTAATACTATCAATAGGCCTGAACTCAAACTCCACCTTTTCACCAGTACTCTGCGTCTCACCTGTACTGGGAACTTTTCCAGAAGAAATTAGCGCATTTTCGTCAAAAGTGATATCTCGACTCAGAATGATTTTCCGAGAATCAGGAGACCATAGACGATACCCTTTTGACTCAGAGGCATAACCAAGGAAAATGCATTTGACAGCTCTCGGGTTCAATTTACCCGTACTGGAATGAGCATAAGCAGGACATCCAAAAACTCTTAAGATAGAGTAATCAACAGGATTACCTGACCAAACTTCCTCTGGAATTTTGAAATCAAGGGATGAATGTGGAGATCTATTTACCAAATAGCAAGCAGTAGAAACAGCCTCGGCCCAAAAATCACGCCGTTTCCATAACCCAGCATTAGAGAGCATACAACGAGCTCTTTCTAATAGAGTCCTGTTCAAACGTTCGGCAACACCATTTTGCTGGGGTTTACCAGGCAAGGTCTTGTGCCTGGCGATTCCATTTGCCGCACAAAAGTCATTGAAATCTGACTCACAGAATTCCAAGCCATTGTCTGTCCTGAGCTTCTTGACTTTTTTACCTGTCTGAGTCTCAACAAGTATTTTCCATTTCTTGAAAATAGAAAATGCTTGATTTTTATGTTTCAGGAAATAGACCCAGACTTTACGAGAAAAGTCATCAATAATAGACATAAAATATCTACAGCCTCCCATAGACTGGAATTTAGTCGGTCTCCATAAATCGGAATGTATATATTCCAATACATCTTTGGTACGGTGTGTAGCAGTAGAGAAACTAACCCTCTTTTGTTTCCCAAAAATACAATGCTCACAAAATTGTAATTTACCCGTACCTGAACCACCAAGGAGGCCTTTTTTGCTCAGGAGATGCATGCCTTTCTCACTCATATGCCCCAGACGCATATGCCATAATTGAGTGAGATCCGCATCAGACATCGATGAGGATATCGCTACTGAACCCGTCACAGTACTGCCATGCAAGACGTACACGCTTCCAGAACGAGAAGCTTTCATGAGAACAACCGAGCCTTTTATGACCTTCAAAACTCCACCTTCAGCTATGTACTTGTACCCCAGAGATTCCAAGGTGCCCAACGATATCAGATTGCGTTTCAAATCAGGAATATACCGAACATTGGTAAGAGTCCTGACAACGTTATCATGAGTTTTAATCTGAACACTTCCAATTCCACTAACCTTGCATTGGGTATCATTACCCATCAAGACAACTCCACCATTAACTGGTTCCAGAGAGACGAACCAGTCTTTGTGAGGACACATGTGGAACGTACAACCAGAGTCCAAAATCCACTCAGTCTTGCTCCGTTTGTCACCGGAGCTAACAGATAACATAACATCGCCTTCTGAATCACTTTCAACAACACTAGCTTCAGCAGACTTCTTTTCTCTCTCTTGCTTGTTTTTCAACTTGAAGCATTCAGTCACATCATGACGATGCTTCTTGCAGTACTTACAGGATTTGTTGGACTTATGTCCTTTGGACTTGGATCTGGAATTTTTATTGCTACTCCCTGATTCAAGTGAACGACCCCTTACAGTCAAGCCTTCACCTTTGTCCTCAGACTTAATTTCAAAGTCAAACTTTTCTTTGGACAATAGGTTTGACTTAACACTGTCGAAAGTAAGGGTATCACTACTATTACCATACAACATAATTTCTTTGAAATGCGTGTATGATCTAGGGAGAGAGACAAGCAATAAAACAGCGCGATCCTCATCTTCAATTATAACATCAATATTTTCCAAGTCCAATAAAATTGAATTGAATTCATCCAAGTGAGATTTAATAGAAGTACCTTCCGTCATACGGATTGTGTACAGACGCTCCTTCAGGCGTAGCGTGTTCGCCAGAGTTTTGGCCATGTAAAGCGTATCCAACTTGGACCATAAATCTGACGCAGTCGTCTCACTTAACACCTCACGTAGAACCTCTTTAGACAGGCACAAAAGAATGGTTGAACGTGCCTTGTCATCCAGATCTTCCCAATCTACATCTGTCATTGTAGCCGGTTTCTTCTTCTTCCCAGCTAGCGCTTTCTTCAAACCGTTCTGGGTTAGAACGGCTTCCATCTGAACCTTCCAGATAGAAAAGCTAATTTTCCCGTCGAACTTCTCGATATCGAACTTGGTAACAGTCGACATCTTTGAAAATAACTCTCAATTAAACCTGGCTCTGATACCACTTGTTAGGAATATAGCGGAATAATGCGGAAGCGAAGAATCGAAAATTGAGAATTATAGAAGTTGAATAATAGGAAAATATATAAATGACAAAAGTAGGAAATTAATAAATTGGGAAAATATAATATATATATATATATTAAACTCTAAAAGAGTATAAAGAAAACAAATATATATATAAATATATATGTATTCTACGTGGGGACAAAAAAGAAAGAAGAAAGAATGAATTCAATATTGATGCATTGATAACAAAGAAACATGAGCTATTTATACAATTGAAAGAAGGAGATAAATACGGCATGCTCATTGAGGAAAGGCACCACTTCCGGCGGGACGTGCAATGAGGAGGCTACTGTATGCATGCGACGTGGGTGGACAGCAGCATGTGGTGCATCATGGTGAGTGGAATGGATTTTGAGCCATAGAACTTAATTATTTTCTAACAATATATATATATATATATATATATATATATATATATATATATATGTGTGTGTGTGTGTGTGTGTGTGTGTGTGTGTGTGTGTGTGTGTGTGTGTGTGTGTGTGATTCCAAGAATGGCCCCTTGAATTGACTATTGATCAAGGTTTAAAAAATCGCTAGGCGTCTAGGGACCGCCTAGGACGCCTAGAGCGCCTAGAGCGATTAATCGGCGCCTAGAGCGCCTAGGCTCCGATTAATCGGCGCCTAGGCCCGATTTTTGCAACATTGCTATTGATATTTACTAATTTTCATCATTAACTTTTAATTTGACTATAAATGATTCATTGACTATTAACATTTATCAATTTTCATCATCGATTTTCAATTTTATCATAAATGGTCAATTTAAGGGTAATAATTTAAAATTTTAGTTATTCACATTCTCACTAATGATGGATCTAATATATTAAGTTTATAAACCCATTTGCCCAGTCAATTTTTACATTATTACCCTTAATTTAATGTTTACTAAATAGATATTTAACTAGATGACCAAATATGAAACAAAAGCAATAGTCAATGGACCATTTATGGTTATATTGAAAGTCGATGAAGAAAATTGGTAAAGGTCAACAATTAATGGGACATTTATGATCCAATTAAAAGTCTATGATAAAATTTATAAATATTAATAGTTTATGCGGCCATAGGACCCCGGGGACCCATTTTATTGGAAAAGTCTTGACCCAAGTGGGGTTTATTTTTATTGCAAGGGGGTGATCGAAAGTGAAGCATGGAGCAAAATATTAAAGGATGTGTTGCCAATAGGGGTACCAAACTTGTGAGCTCCACAAGGCAACACACACCTTAACCCGCCAAACCACTACTTATCTTGTGTACTGGAAGGCAGGAAGCTCTAGTTATGCATAGGAAGTGCGTTGGAAGCAAAGTAGTGGGGGACACATGTGTCGCCAAGAATGAAAACTAGTCAATTATATCGTACATTTGTCAACCATCCGGAATGCCCTCTACACTATATAAGGCACCATCAATTCCTCTAAAGACATCATCCATTAGACCATAATAATAAACCTCCCTAGCTTGCTGGTTTCTAGTCCTAATAACCTTTAACCCATGCATTATAGGGTTCAATTCCTAGTCGCAACATTATTATCATTCCTAGTCCACTATTTGGGCTATAGTTTGTATCATTCCTAGTCCACTATTTGGGCTATAGTTTGTATTATTTAGACCTTCGTTTTGGGCCATTATCTCGGGCTATGTATGTACTCTTTTGGACCTAGCGCTCGGAGAAATAAACTACTATTTTCCTACCCATGTATGGTACTTCCATACCCAATTATTTATAGTGGACCCAATCCAACAAAACCATGTGTGTGTGTGTGTGTGAGGTTTCATGTGAATATTACAAACTTTGAAGTTTGTAATATTTATGAAATTGAACCACATGCGCACAAGGAACCCCCCTCCCCCTCACTTTCAGAGGTTGCTTCCACACTACCGCTGGTGAGACTCGATCCCTGGTCATTCTTCCAAAGTTTCACATCTGTGACCATTTGAGCTGCCCATGCGGGTTCTCCTATATATATCCTTGGTTGAGCAAATGGATTTTAACAAGCCATACACACCTGCGTTTTTTCTCTCTAGAAAAAATCTCTACTCTTATTCAATTCCTCTAAATTTATGTGTGCTACTAGTGTTCTAGTTCGCCGAGCTTATTTGTTTGAGTGTTCAAATATTAAATAGAAGTTCGTCTTATCCTGTGAAACCTAGGTTACAACGCTCTTAGCATCAAAGGAAGGTAGAAAATAAGGTATTAAGATGAGTGTGAGTATTACATAACCGGAACTTAACCTTTAGCTTTCGTTTTCTTGTACTTGTTTTTCCGAATTAATATTTTCATAATATTATTTCGCTACAACTATATAAATTGTCCCTAAAATTAGTTAAGATAATGTTATTTTTGCTTAATTTCTCCTTTAATCTTCTCTTTCTAACATGACATTAAAACGTTTTTCACTCATTGGATACTCATAAATTGATTGATCATATCATGAGTTCAAAAACAAATTTAGTTAAAAATCATGTATAGAAAATTCCAATCAAATTATGTCATTTCAAGAGGAAAGATTCGAAAGAAATTTTTGTTGGGAAAAATCCCACTTCCTGTGACAATGAAAAAATCACAGAACCGACAGGAGCACAAACACAAGATGATACACAATATCCAAAAATAAATAACAAAGCAATGAACACAAGATTTACGTGGAAACCCCAAAACCACGGGGAAAACCACGGGACCACCACCACCAACAATTCCACTATAACAAATCTCGGGTACACAAGTTCAGGCTACCACACGAGCCATACATCCATAAATCATCAAACAAAATCAACTCTAGGCCAAATACATCCTTTAACATTCACAGGCTAAACAGGAATAATATCTCCGTACTCAAAATATTCAACTACCACGTACAAGATAAAATGAATATAAGTAGTACGAGATTACCCAAAAGATGCCTGGAATAAATACAAGCTGACCTTCAAAAGATTGATGAATATTGTACCCAAAATAACCTAGAGAAACTCACGGCAAACCAAAGCAACCATGCGCCAAAGTTGAAGAAAGAAAAAATGAAATTGCTTTCTTTTTTGCTTGGAGTTGCTACCGCCAACTGTCTCAAGCTCTCTCTCACTCTATTTGACTTTTTCTCTCAATCTATGTATGTATTTAGATTGCTCCCTTTTTATAGCCAAAATGGATGAACATGGGAGTAATGAAGAATAAATAGAGAATTAATTCTTCACCCCTTCAAATGCCAAAAACGTTTGCTTCTCCAACCTCTTACATTCCCTAATCTTATTATTATATAACATAATATTAATAATAATTAGGCTAAAAAATATAGTGGATAAAAGTTAGCTTGGTCCAAACATGAGCTATTTACCACATAGGAGGGAAGCTCAACCCAACAAATCTCCCCATCCCGACTATGTGGAAGATACCGCCATCCCGGCGATAGAACAACATACCTCAAACTTTCCTCTTGGCAACGATTTGGTCATCATGTCAGACCCATTATCATCAGTGTGAATCTTTTCAAGTTCAAGCATCTTGCATTCCAAGATATCTCTAATCCAATGATATCTCGTGTCAATATGTTTTGACATGTAATGAAACGTAGAATTCTTTGCAAGATGAACTGCACTCTGACTATCACAATAGAGCACATACCTGTTTTGAACAAACCCGAGCTCCTGAATAAACTTTTTCATCCATAGCATTTCTTTATGATAAGTGCATTTTTGTCTATATTTTTACCCCTTCTTGAACCCTTTTTATATGTGAATATCCTAAAAACTTGTGTGAATTGTGACTAAGTTATGTTGGTTTTATTTCAAGGTACAATCATTCACAACAAGTGAGGAATTCAATGATTTGTGGGAAGATACGAGCAATTTTGGGACCAAGAGATCAATCAAAGAGTTTGGAATGCATTTAAGAATTTTCAGCAGCCTCGTACCCCCTTGCGTACGCCCATCCGTCAGCCCATCCAAGATCTCAAAAAAGAAGCAGGTGGCGTACGCCCTGCCGTACGCCCATACGTATGCCCGTACGCCCTTTCCAGTGAACCAAGATTAAATCGTACTACCTCAGGGATGGCCATCCCTAAGGCAGTACCTCTGTGCTCTGTAAAATATTTATGCGATTTTCTTGGATTTTTGGAGGAAGTTAGAACCCTAAATAGCTAGAACTCATTTCTCTTCATTTCCTTAGACTTCCTTAGCTTAGACTAGTCTAGTATTACATCTCTAACTCATCTAGCAAGCTTGTAAACGCGGATTGGAGTGGGATTCAACCACAATTTCTTCATCTTTAATAGAGAAGCTTCTTACTCTTCTTTTAAAGCTCTTGTGCAATGTTTATGATATTTTCTTGTGCTTTGTTGTTATTTATGCTTATGAAGTGTGAGTAGTCCGTTTTTGGGCTCGGATTAGGGTGATATTGCCAACCTAGATGCTAAATAGGTGATTATTGCATAAGGGGGAAGATATCTAACCTAGGGTTCATTTGTTTGTGAAGGATTTATGTTGAATCTTGTTAATATTTGGTACGTAACTCTTATTAACTTGCTTTTGGATAGTTTTTCTCCACAATGAAAGTTGGGGGAAGAATTTAAGCCTCTCCTTTCTCTAAACCCATTTTCTTTCTATGAAAATAGGGAAGAATTGGGGGCCTAAAAGCTTATGTGCTTTAAGAGCTAGGATTTGATACACCATGAAAGTGGGGCAATCCTTGCTCTAATCCTTGTTTATTAGCTTATGAAAATGGCTTTAAGCTAGGATTTTTATGTGCTTTGCCCTTGTGTTCCCTTGGTTGATGTTCTCTCCTAATCCCTAAGTTGTTAAAGCATCTAGAAGGCAACATCCCCTAATTTGAGCCCATCTTTTATCATTGTGTTTACTTGTGTTTAAATTGCATTATCTTAACTAGATTTTTAGCCTTTAATTATTAACTTTACCCAACCATGAATTTGAATTTGCTTGGATTCTTGTGGGTTCCAATACTTTGGTGCCTAGAATTTTAGTTGTCACTCAAGTACGTGCCATAGTCCCAATCCCTTGCGGAACGACAATTTACACCCGTTACTCACCATCTCTTTCCCGTACATCACTTTACTAGCCTCAACAGATGCTATGAACTCAGCTTCAGTGGTAGACAAAGCAATACACTTTTGCAATCTTGATTGCCATGAAACTGCTCCCACTGCATAGGTAATCAGATAGCCTGAAGTAGATTTCCTAGTATCAATGTCTCCAGCCATATCAGAATCAGTGTACCCAGTAAGGATATGTTTCCCTGTACCAAAACACAAACTCAGACTTGAAGTACCCCGAAGATATCTTAGAATCCACTTCACAGCATCCCAATGTTCTTTCCCTGGATTTGAAAGAAATCTGCTAACAACACCTACTGCATGAGCAATATCTGGTCTCGTGCATACCATCGCATACATCAAACTACCAACAGCTGAAGAATAAGGAACTCTTTGCATTTCTTCCTTCTCTTTCTCACTAGAAGCACATTGCTTCTTGCTCAACTTGAAATGCATACCAAGAGGTGTATTCACTGACTTAGCTTCATCCATATTAAATCTCTCAAGTACCTTCTCTATATACTTCTCTTGAGATAACCACAACTTCTTATTCTGCTTGTCACGGATGATCTTTATCCCAAGAATTTGCTTTGCTGGTCCCATGTCCTTCATAGAAAATGACTTACTCAACTCTTGTTTCAACTGTTGAATTCTTGAGACATTGTGACCAACAATCAACATATCATCAACATAAAGCAACAATATAACAAAGTCAGCATCAGAATATCTGTTTACAAAAACACAGTGGTCTGAAGAAGTCTTCTTGTACCCATGCTTACTCATAACAGAAGTAAACTTTTTATACCACTGCCTCGGAGCTTGCTTCAAACCATACAAACTCTTCTTCAATCTGCAAACATAATCCTCTTTCCCTTTAACTTTGAAACCCTCAGGCTGCTCCATATATATCTCCTCATCTAAATCACCATGGAGAAAAGTTGTCTTCACATCCATCTGCTCAATTTCTAGATTCAAACGGGCTGCTAGACCCAACACAACTCTAATGGATGAAAATTTCACAACAGGTGAGAAAATTTCATCAAAATCAATACCTTTCTTCTGGCTGAAACCCTTCACCACCAGTCTAGCTTTGAACCGTGGAACTGAAGTGCCTTCTTCATGTTTTAATCTGTAGACCCACCTGTTCTTCAAAGCTTTCTTGCTCTTTGGTGCCCTCACCAACTCAAAGGTATCATTTGCATATAAGGAGTTCATCTCATGTTGCATAGCCTCAAGCCACTGTCTCTTTTGCTCACTCTCCATGGCTTCTTCATAAGACTCGGGTTCTCCCCTATCAGTCAAGATCACATACTGATCGGAAGAGTAACGAGTAGATGGTCTCCGCTCCCTGTTAGACCTTCTAGGAGGATCAACTGGAACCTGCGAAGGAACTTCTTGTTCCTGGTACACAACATCATCAACATGACCATCTACATCAACTGTATCATCCTGAAGGTCCGGTACAAGATCATCATTATGACCATTCTCCTGAATCTCATCAACGTCATGTGTATCTTTGTTGGAAACTGGCTCAAGGTCAACCAAACTTCCGTTGTCATGAGATTCTGGCTTCCTCACTTTATCAACATCCTCAATGGTTTGATTTTCAAAGAACACTACATCACGGCTTCTCACAAGCTTCTTCTCAACTGGATCATACAGCCTGTAGCCAAATTCATCAAGACCATAACCGATGAAGATGCATTGTCTGGTCTTCGAGTCCAACTTAGATCTCTCATCTCTTAGGACATGCATAAATGCCTTACAACCGAAGACTCTGAGGTGATCATAAGAAACTTCCTTTCCACCCCAAACCTTATCAGGAACTTCATTACTCAAAGCAATAACAGGAGATAAATTGATAATATGAACAGCTGTGGAAACTGCTTCAGCCCAAAAAGATCTAGGCAACTTCGCACCATCAAGCATGCATCTAACTCTCTCCATAATTGTCCGGTTCATCCTCTCTGCTAAGCCATTTAACTGAGGAGTCTTAGGAGGAGTTTTCTGATGTCTAATACCGTGCATTCTGCAATATTCATCAAATGGGCCACGGTATTCACCGCCATTATCAGTACGGATGCACTTCAATTTCTTCCCTGTCTGTCTCTCAACAAGAGCATGAAACTCTTTAAACACACCAAACACATCACTTTTGTGCTTCAAAGTGTAAACCCAAAGTTTCCTAGAAAAATCATCAATAAAGGTCACAAAGTAAGACGCACCTCCAAGTGACATAACCTTCATTGGTCCACACACATCAGAATGTACCAACTCAAGTGGCTCTGACCTCTTCGAAGGAGGGTTGCTCATGAAAGAAACTCTTTTCTGTTTCCCCGCCAAGCAATGAACACATCTGTCCAACCTAGCTTCTTTTACCCCTGAAAGCTTACTCTTCTTGGCAAGACAATCAATCCCCTTCACACTCATGTGGCCAAGTCGTTTATGCCACAATTCTGATGCACATTCTTTTGCTGCCACATTCACTGAATCACCAGAAATAAAGCTTTGCAAAGAGTACAAGTTAGAAGACTTGTTACCTCGTGCAATAACCAGCGAACCTTTAGTGATTTTCCAATGTCCATCACCAAAGAAACAACAGAAACCATCATCATCAAGCTTTCCTGTAGAAATGAGATTTAGTTTGATACCTGGTGCATGGTTTACATTTTTAAGTACCAGCTTTGTGTCATTGCTTGTCTCAAGGCAAACTGTACCGGTACCAATCACCTTCACCTGACCATCATCACCCATTCTTAACTCTCCATAGTCACCTGGAGTATATGAAGTAAAGAATTCCTTCCTTGATGAGGATGCACCTGAATCCACAATACAAGTTGTTTCGTGGCATGCAATGTTGATGGCGTTCTCATCACAAGCAACAAGTAAATCTGTTTTAACTGTTGCAACCTGGTTCTCGGTGTTATCATCTTTCTTGTCTTGCTTCTTTTCCCTTTTAAACTTGAAGTAATTTTTCTTGATGTGTCCTTTCTTGCCACAATAATGACATTCAACATCCTTGTGCCATGACCTTGACTTACTTCTGCTTTTATCTCTACCCTTCTGACCCCTTTGTTTGTTTCTCCCCCTATCATTTGTAACCAAAATATCTGACTGAGAAGTGGAGGTGTCTTGAGATCTTCTTCTTGACTCTTCATTCAAGATACCACTCTTGACATACTCCATGGTCACAACACCATTGGGAGCAGAATTGGTCAAAGAAACCCGAAGTGTTTCCCAAGAATCAGGTAGAGTGTTAAGCAACCATAGACCAAGTACCTCATCCTCAAATTTGATGCCCATGCTAGACAACTGATCAAGAACACCCTGAAAATCATTGACATGATCATTAATCAATGTACCTTCCTTGAATCTTAGATTCATCAATTGTTTTAGCAAAAACAATTTGTTATTGCCTGTCTTGGAAGCATACAGGGTCTCAAGTTTATCCCACATGCTTCTGGCATGTGTCTCGTTGATAATGTGATTCATAACATTATCTTCAACCCATTGGCGAATATAACCACAAACTTGTTGATGCTCAAAGTCCCACTCTTCGTCTGACATGCTTTCTGGCTTTGCAGTTGCAAACACAGGTAGATGTAATTTCTTCACAAACAGAAGATCTTTCATCTTGGCCTTCCAAATGTGATAATTTCTACCATTCAATCGTACCATATTACTCATATTTGTCTCCATGTCAAATGTACTCAATCAACAACCAAGGCTCTGATACCACTTTGTTGGGAAAAATCCCACTTCCTGTGACAATGAAAAAATCACAGAACCGACAGGAGCACAAACACAAGATGATACACAATATCCAAAAATAAATAACAAAGCAATGAACACAAGATTTACGTGGAAACCCCAAAACCACGGGAAAAACCACGGGACCACCACCACAAACAATTCCACTATAACAAATCTCGGGTACACAAGTTCAGGCTACCACACGAGCCATACATCCATAAATCATCAAACAAAATCAACTCTATGCCAAATACATCCTTTAACATTCACAGGCTAAACAGGAATAATATCTTCGTACTCAAAATATTCAACTACCACGTACAAGATAAAATGAATATAAGTAGTACGAGATTACCCAAAAGATGCCTGGAATAAATACAAGCTGACCTTCAAAAGATTGATGAATATTTTACCCAAAATAACCTAGAGAAACTCACGGCAAACCAAAGCAACCATGCGCCAAAGTTGAAGAAAGAAAAAATGAAATTGCTTTCTTCTTTGCTTGGAGTTGCTGCCGCCAACTGTCTCAAGCTCTCTCTCACTCTATTTGTCTTTTTCTCTCAATCTATGTATGTATGTAGATTGCTCCCCTTTTATAGCCAAAATGGATGAACATGGGAGTAATGAAGAATAAATAGAGAATTAATTTTTCACCCCTTCAAATGCCAAAAACGTTTGTTTCTCCAACCTCTTACATTCCCTAATATTATTATTATATAACATAATAATAATAATAATTAGGCTAAAAAATATAGTGGATAAAAGTTGGCTTGGTCCAAACATGAGCTATTTACCACATAGGAGGGAAGTTCAACCCAACAATTTTAATAAAGATATGCCGCATTTCTCAATTAGTTACCTAGTGTGATTAGTTATTAGTGGTCAACATGGCTTGATCACCTTCGTATCAAGATTAGGAAAACAACTTAAAACAGGGTGAAATGGCATATCTAAGCTTTTTGGAAGGAAAACTCGTATTCATTATGTGAAGGTATATATATGTTAAACGTTGTTTCTGTATAATAAATAGTTCGTAAATCACGTTAAGAAGACTTTATGTAATGAGTTTAATATATATCTAACATTTTTTAACTTATGAGAAGGGAACTACACATATTAGGGGAATTTTATGTATGGTTGAATAACCTTAAGAACACGTTTAGTTCACGGAATGAATTTTGAGGTAATAGGAATGCTATTCCATATGGAATGGAATAACCAAGAAATAGAATAGGAATTGTATTCTATTGTTTGGTTCGCGGAAGAAATAGACTTTAGAAATTATATTATAGTGTTTGGTTGATTTTAGGAATAGAAATGAAATATGTTTTAAAAGACGTAAATACCCTTATAACAATATGCGATGGTGGCGGTGGTGGTGGTGGTGGCGGTGGCGGTGGCGTTGGTGGCGGCTGCGGTGGCGGTGGTGGTGGTAGTGGCGGTTGTGGGGTGGTGGTGCTGGTGGTAGTGGCGGCGGTTGTGGCGGTGGCGGTGGTGGTGCTAGTGGTGGTGGTAGTGGTGGGGCGGTGGTGGCAGCGGTGGTGGTGGTGGTGGCGGTGGCAACGGCGGCAGCGATGACGATGGTGAAATAGGAAATAAATTTAATTGGGAAGTAAAATATGAAATAGAAACTTTAGGCTATTCCTGAGAACTCAAGAATAGCCTAATAGGTCATTCTCGGGAACAATGTTCCTGGGAATACAAGTGGTTACCAAACAGAGGAATAGGCATATTACCGAGAATGTTATGCCATTCCAGACCTATTCCGTGAACCAAACAGGCCATAAAAGTCATCTTTAAGAAACCTCTAATTATTATGTATATACAAACTATTTTCAAAATAGTTTTAAAGCATATTAAATCCTTATTGTCAAATTTTGTTTGAATATTTTAGAGCAATAAGACTCGCAATGTTTTTGTACCCCCAAAGGGGGGAGGGGGGGAGGTAAAAGAAGCTAGGTTACTAGAAGAATCGGTGGCCAACCACTAAGATAGTAAGATGGCAGCCAGCTTGAGATGACTACTTTATTCGATATTAATCCAAAGTCATCATCATGATGCCAAAACATATTAATTTCTTGCTGATGCTACTTATGTACTAAATCTCCATTTTCAGAATAAAAAATGAGCAAAAAGGAGAATGAAATGTCCCTACAACATGTGCAAGTCTTCCTGCGTGCCTTCAACTCTTTTGTTCTTGAGACGCGTCGCTTAACTTCCGCCAATCTGCAAATTATTCCCCGCCCCCATGTGATTTATGACTTCCAATTCATTTTGAATAGACCACCAATTAAAAATTCATGATATCTCAAAACAACCCGCATGGGCAGCTCAACAGGTCACAGAGGTGAAACTTTGGAAGAATGACCAGGGATTGAGTCTCACCCGCGGCAGTGTGGGAGCAACCTCTCAAAGTGAGGGGGGTTCCTTGTGCACAGTGAGCACGGTCTAGCCTCTGTGGTTCATGTTCAGTTGAGTTATCATGATTTACATTCTCCCAAATGCTCTGTCGGGTCGGGGTGTGGGACCCTTAGGGTTAGGGTTCAGCCTTAATAACTATCTGAGCTTACATTGAGGGGTTTTTATTAGATAAAAATTAAAAATTATAATTTTTGTCCCTAAGTTATAGGATAATGGTAAAATTCGTTTTAAGTGTTGGTCTTGCTCAATTTTCGTCTCTAAGCTATCGTTGGTGTTGCTCAGCCGTTGATTTGGAGAAGATCAACTGCTCTAAATCAAGGCAATCTGAAGAAAAAATGCAATGAAATTTTGGTCAATATTTCAAGCGTTGAAGTACATTATTACACACAACACAACTGCAAAAGTGCACCAAATGATTTGTAGAAGCACACTCAAGAGGTTGTACTTCACATACCATTCGGTGCACTGTATATTATTATTTCATGTACTTTGTAATGTTGATCGATGCACTTTAAATTTTGAGATATTTTACTACACGTTTTTTCCTCTTACTTTTTAGTCACTCTCGTTAATCTATCCAGATGGATAGATCATATCAATCCTCAATTTATTTATTTATTATTTTTATTTTTTTTATCATTAGAAATTTATATATATGGTATAATTTTGTTATTTTAATATTTTTTTTTTGAAAGCTTGTTATTTTAACATAATATATCAATATAAACTTAATTTAAATTTTTAGATTTTGACAAATAATTTTGTTAGTAGTATTCGAATAATTTTTTTTTTAAGTTTAACTTATAACATGTAATTATAATTAAGATATTGTTTTAAAAACATGTTAATGGATATTGAGATCAATGCCCGCAATGTGTCTAAAATGAATATTTAAAATTTTCACCTAAATATAGTGGGTCACTGGATTGAGGGGTAGGTGTATCAAAATTTCCACTTGCTTATCAAGAGCAAATTTCACTTTTAGTGATTAATTATTGTGGCATTGATATAGTTAATCTTATTTTTTAAGTTAATCACATTACATCCTTGAGTCCTTGACTATGATATATTTGTCACAATTAGTCATTTGTTTAAATTTTTCTTATTTCACAATTTAATACAGGAAGTTAACATGTAATTTTATAATTTAAGCATCTTGCTCAATGTGTAATTTCTCTTCATCTCTTGTAAACTCTTTTAATTTGATGATTAAGTTACATATTAATCATATTTATTAAATTATGAAATAAAAAAAAATTAAAAGGATGACTAATTGTGGTAAACAAGTGAAAGTCAATTTAATGTGACAAAATTAAAAGTACAAAACTGAATGTTACAATGTCACAATAATCGATGACTAAAATTGAATTTTGCTCCAAAATTAATAAATAACTAGTGTGAATCAAGCACTTCAAATAAGGTGACCAAAACTTAAACTAACTCAACCAACCCACTGATGGTAATAAAAAGACAAACAAACAAACCAACCAAAGCGTAGAGTTCTTATTTTATTTTATTTTGCCAGCTTATATTCAGCAAATCTGTGTTAGTATTCTTGACCAAATCCTTGGTGGCACATATAGAATCCACATGCAGAGTGGATACATATATTCTCTTACAGCCTGTAATTAACCGAAAAACTAATACACAGTTTGCCTTGTCCAACAAATCCATTGTTTTTCTTAAATACCCATGACTCATTACAAGGTAGTATTTATTCTAATATCTTAATAACGATAATGCAAGAATTATGTTTAAAATAGACAAATCTCTTATATGCATCAACATTTGACCATATCTGAAGAGTCATTGAATTATCGTAATTTACATCCTCCCAAATGCTTTGTCTAGTCGGGTGTGGGGCTTTTGAAGTTGGGAATTCAATCTTCTGAGAAAAGTATATACACTATATTTTTCAATCTAAAAAATTAATACCCCACCACTGAATTTGACCATATACCCACTCATTTAAAAGAGTAACAGATGTGTTATCGCGCTATATGTAATTTGCCCATCCACTGATATTTAGTATGCCCAAAAACAATTGATTGGGAACCTTCCAGCTTAGTTTTTCAATCTTTCACGCAATCAGTGGAAAGACAGAAGCAAAAGGGATCAAATAATGGAGAATGACACAACGCGTTTGAGTAAAGAATTTCTGTATTATTTACAATAACAATTTGAGAGGTCAACAATTTAGTACATGATTCTTCTATTCCCAAAAATGACAAAAACAAAATTATATCTGTCATAAAGCCTTTGCTCACACCAAGCTGTCAAATAAACAATCCAATCAAACCAGGGCAATCCTAAGAGGCTAAGAATATGATATGAAAACCACAAATTTGTCAGGAAAAAAAAAAAATGAATGAAATGAACTTGCATACTTTAAGGTCATCTGCAATCTGTTGAACTGAAGGTATCAGCGAATCCCGAAGGTTTCGTGGGAATACTCGACTGCGTTTGGCTGTAGGAGAGATCGTCAAACATCCTGGAAGTCCCTTCGTCGGCTTGCCATCTTTGAAGGGCTTGCGGGAGGCTCATATGGAGGTCGATGCCATAGCTTTCGTCTTCTTCAGGTCTCGAAGGCCGCCACTGCTCCACGAGTGGGCTCAGGACATTCACAGCGTGGCCCATGTCGGGTCTCTGGAATGGCTCCCGAGCGGTGCAGTGGCCAGCCAGCTCAGCTACCTTGGCAATGCTCTGATAGGTTTCCTCATCGGGGTCGAGAGTAGGGTCAATAGCCTTTCGGAGGTTGTCTCGGTTGATGAGGACCCTTCGGAACCATGTCACCAGATGAGACCTCTCGTCTGGCATGGTCTCGTCTAGCGCTTTTCTGCCCGTGATGATCTCCAATAAAATAACCCCGAATGCATAAACATCAACTTTGGTTGTGACTCGCCCAGTAGCTATACGAAATAGAAAGATATATATAAGCTTCCATGCTCATAATTACAAACTAGAGTTTTTTTTAGTACTACAGACACTGTTACAATGCAGTATCTGTTCATAACTACTTTCTTACAATGCAGTATCTGTTCATAACTACTTTCTCAAGAGTCAGTAGAAAGTCCACTGAGGCACGAACAAACCCACTTCGTGCCACTAGACCACAAGATCATTGGCAATATAATCTAGAGTTTAATTAGTTATCCAACTAAATTTCTTTCTTAAATTACTTCTCCTTTCTCCATATCTGGACAGCTAGTATACTCTCTATGTCCCATTTTATATCACCTACTCATACAATGAAGCTTGACTAAATGTTCAATGAGCACGATGTCAAGAAAGATGATATGACTATAAAAGGGTGTTCGATTATTTCATACAAGAAAACGAAATAAGGATAGATAAGTAGTACTTACCAGCATATTCGGGTGCAAGATAACCGAATGTTCCAGCCAATCGTGTCTCGACTGAATACTTCCCATCGGGGGCGTTTCTAACCAATCCAAAATCGGCAACCTTGGCTCTCATATCATCACTAAGGAGAATATTAGTGGGTTTTAAATCTCTATGGATGAAACTTTGCTGTGCTAAGCTATGAAGATACTCGACGCCCCTTGCCACGTCTAATGCTATCGTTACCCTTTGCTTCCAAGTCAGAGGTTCGGAGGCGTGCTCTTGCCATTCAAACAAGTGCTGGCCTAGGGTACCCTGTGGCATATACTCGTACACTAAAAGCCTCTCGTTGCCATTGATACAATAGCCGAGAAGGGCGACGAGATGCCTATGTCTAACTTTGGTAAGGACCGCGATTTCAGCTTGAAACTCATTCATTCCTTTGGTACCCATCACCCCGGATTCCATCCTCTTCACAGCAATCTTAGTCCCATCGTGTAATTCACCCTTGTAAACGACTCCGAACCCTCCTCTCCCCAGCACGTTCTCTTCACTGAAATGGTTTGTAACTTGTCGAAGAACCTGGACCGAAATGGCAACGTTTCCGCCTTCGAAAATGGGGATCTCAGTATGGTCACCACTGCTCTGGCTCTGCAGTTCACTCGGGACACCCGAATATCCAGTTGCAGAACCAACTACACTAGCCTTCATCATCTGCTCACTCTTCTCATCAGGGCTCTCGACCCTTCCAAATCTCTTATGCTGCCGCTTCATGTAACACTTGTAAGACACAAACAACACAACTACAACAAAAACAACAACTGCTATAACCACACCAACAATCATTCCACCTGAAATGGAGGACCTGTTTGAATTGTGAGACGATGGATTGTCACCGGGAGCATTTGAATTCTGGCCTGAACCCGGTGATCCACCACCGGTACTCACATTCTTCCCAAGAAATAAGTTGCCACCATGAGAAAAGCTCACAGAAGGTGGGAAAACAGGTATAGGACCAGACAAATTGTTATTGGACACTTCTAGGACTTGAAGATTACGCAAAGTAGTCAAGCTCTCCGGGATTGGGCCAGTAAGATTATTATCATTCAAATACAGGTTCCTCAATGAAGTCAAATTGGCAAAAGCGGGTGAAATAGTACCTGAAAACCCCTGCTTTCTTAGAGTCACCGTAATCACTTTCCCCTGTGAATCACAAGAGACAGATCCCCAATTGTTGCACGCATTATTGCCTTCCCAAGATTGGGCAAGCGTGATTGGATACCCAAGACCCCCAGCAACAGCAAGAAGTGCAGTGACCTGTGGATCACAAGGTCCAGGTTTATCATTACAGAAACCATTACCAAGATTCTTCTTGACGTTATTTCCAAACTCAGGCATGGGACCCTGCAAATTGTTGTTCTGAAGAGTAATGTTCACCAATTTCGGAAGACCCGTTATGGAAACTGGTACAACCCCGGTCAATTGGTTGTCTCTGAGCTGCAAATCGAAGAGATTTACGCATTTGGAAAGGTCAGGGATGGGACCCGTGAAGGCATTGGCATGAAGCCATACTTGGGAGAGTTGGGTCATTGAGGAAAGCACATCAATAGTCCCGGAGAGCCCCTGTTGTTGGTTATTCAGCCACAAATTCTGTATCTCCGAGCTCCCAAACGACCCAGGCAGAGACCCGGTGAGGTTATTGTAGGATAATCTCAGGTTCTGGAGATTCGGGAAAGAATCGAAGAAATTAGGAATGACGCCGGTGATACTGGCGTTGCTCGCGAAGAAAGATCCCAAGCTTGTGCTTTCGGCCAAATAACTAGAAATTTGCCATGGGCTGAGCTCGCCATTGTCGGAAATGCTGAAAATCCGCAAATTGGGAAGACCCAAGAGGAAATCTGGGGGGATTGAGCTGAACTCATTGCTGTCTAAGTAGAGCTCTTCGAGGCTGGACATATTAGCGAAAGACGGCAAGGGCCCGGAGAGGGAGTTTTTCTGGACGGAAAGTGATCGGAGAGACGCCAGCTGTGTGAGCTCAGAAGGGAGATTGCCGGAGATGGACTGGGAGTCGATGTTGATGGAGACCACATTGCCGGTGGGCTTGTCGCAGTTGACATTAGTCCAAGTACACGGATCTTTGGAAGCGGACCAGCCAGAAGGCGCCGGAGAGAGGGCAGCTAAGAGCTTGGACATGACGGCGGCGTCATCGCAAAATGAAACAGAGAGCAGGCCGAGTAAGAGGAGTAAACGGAGAAAGGATGGAGCTTTCTGGGAGGACATTGCAGGTGGGGTTTAGTTTCGTGGCGGAGGAAGCATATAAGGTTGGGTGGTACACGGCGGCGGTGGTGGTGGTGGCGCGGTATGAATTTTGGAATTTGAAAAGACTTTTAAAAAGTTAGAGAAGAAAAGAAAAGCGTATGTTCTGGTGGTTTATCATGTTCTTGAAGGATTTATGCTTATGGTGACAGTTGACAGCTGCAACTGAACTGTATTTATGCAAGTTCCTTATTCTTTATTTTTATTTGTGAAAATGACATTTTTTTTCTCTGAATTATTTATGTAAGCATATTAGTTCCTTAATTATTTTAAAAGTTGTGGTTTTCCCTCTCCTCTATATTAAATTTACATTTTTACCTTTAAAGTAAATATTTTATTTATTTTTCTTCCCCGATAAATTATTGTTTATATGTAAGGATGACCACTGTTCGGTTCGAACTGAACCGGACACTATAGCAATCGAATTGAAAGTTTCCGGTTGTGATTCAGATCCAGAACCCAATATTTAGATTTCAGTTTATTAAAATATGAATCGAAAAAACTGGATCATGAACCGTGAATCGACGGTTCGAATTGGAACAACTACTAGCATTAGTTTCAAATTAGAATTATAATATTTACAAATATTGTATGTTCTTTTTTACATTTATTATAATTCTCACATATAAGTATATATGACCGCGATTTGGTTTTTATTTTGAACCGTCGGTTCACGGTTCCTGATCCAACTTGAACTGCTGGTTCAAACTTTATTTTAAAATTTTATTTTTATTTTTAAAATAGTCTAAATTCAACAATAAATGTATTTTTTTCAGTTCGGAACATGAACCTGTCGTTCCGGTTTGCGATTTTAATAAACTCTAAATATCGTGTTTCGATTCTAAATTGTAATCCGAATATTTCGGTTTGGTTGCTATAGTATATGTTCGGTTTGAACCAAATCGTGGTAATTATTTGTCGGAGAAGAAAAATAAATGGATATTTATTTTAAGGGTAAATGTGTCCATTTAACATTTCAGGGGAAAAACTTCCACTTAAATAATTCAAAAGGAAAAAGTGTTATAAGTATATAACTCAGGGAGAAAAAGTGTTATTTTTTCTTTTTCTTTTTATTTTCTCCCTACTTTTTATTTTCATGTGTCTTTTTTAAACTAGTCTTTTCTGCGATGTGCAAAAACATATGCCCAACATTTATATTTTTAAAAATAGTTAACAAATCATTACTAATTAAAAGTAATCAAATTTATTTATTATATTAATCCAATATATAATGTCTACAAATATTATCATTAAATAATATAAGAAAATATATGGTGGATGTAATGCATGTGTATGGTAAAAATAATGGAAAGGATAACGGAAGTTATAATAGTATAGGTATTTTTGTCCAAAAAATTATATAGTACAACTATAAAAGTACAATGTAAAAAATGGTTAGCATTAAAAACATGGACACAAATTAGGGATATAACTTTGATTGAAACTTGAGTATTATGTTTTTAGATTATTCTAGTTTGCAATTAAGATGAAATTGAGTTTCATCTGTCATTAATGGGGCGTTTGGTTGGAGTGAGAGAATTAGGTAGAAAAGAATTGTCATTTCATGGGGATGAATAATATGGGAATAAAGTGATAATTTAAATTCCAGTATTTGGTTTGCAGGAATAGAATTACTGTGAATTTAAATTTCAATATATTTGGTATAAATAGGAATTGAAAGGGATTAAGTTGTGCAAAGTCAAAAAATACTCATTATTATTATTATTATTATTATTATTATTATTATTATTATTATTATTATTATTATTATTATTATTATTATTATTATAAATCCTAAATGACCAAATTCAAATTTTGCTTTTGAAAATTTATATAACACGCCGTAAATAAACTATAGAATTACATAAGCAAAGCAACAAAATAGATAAGGAAGTTTTGATAAAAACATATTTGATTGAGGTTGACCTATTGATTGACATTTTGTGTTAAGGGTAAAAGAGAAAGACACACTACAATCGAAAGACAGAGGTCAAATATTTTTATTTTTTTTTTGTGTAACAGAGGCGCAAGGCGCCTTATCTAACTCTAGCCGTCCACACTCTGTTGGCATCAGCCGAGAGGAGATGAATCATGCCGCCCGGGGCCTGGTCGAGGACGGTAGTACCCCAATCCATCCCTTTACCCAAATTGGCAAAAAAATTCGTGCATTTGTTTCCTCTCTAGCTATGTGCGTGAACTTAATAGCCTCAAACTTTTTGCTCAAGTGCAAATTGTCCTTAACAAGAGTTACCATCCCGTTAAGAGAAATGTCAAACATCAATTTTAGGTTAAAAATATGGAGGAGTAATTTTATCTCAATGTTATTTTCTTCTTTTTAAAATCTACATAATAAAAATACCAATGGGGGAATGAGATTCTAATTCCATGAAACTAGGGGTACAAACGAACTGAGCCGAGCTTGAGGTTGGGTTGGCTCGAGCTCGAGCTCGATAAGAATGGTTGGGTTGCATTGTCATGAGTTAATAGAAGAATCGGGAAGCAGACTCTATTGCAACGGCGGGAGGCAGCGCCGTGCGGTTGCTACGTCGGCGGCGGCGGTGAGAGGCGGGGTCAATCTCTACTGCAGCGGCGGCATGAGGTGCGTCCAATCTGCTACGACGCTGCCATCGTCTCTGCTGAGTGAGGGGAGAATGCTGCGTCTCAATGTATTTAGATTTGGGGTTTTGACTTTTTAAGTATATATATATATATATATATATATATATATATATATATATATATATATATATATATATATATATATATATAATTATATATAATTATATATATATATATATATATATATATATATATATATATATATATATATATATATATATAACACTCTCATGTGAACGGCCGCCCAAGAGAGAACTGAGAACCATCCAATGCGCGTCACGTGTTCTTTGGTGCATATAAATGTGTTATATGTGCAAGTAGTTGGTGCACCTTCGCAAGTAAAAAGTGCAAGTAAAATCGTTTACAAGTGCACATACTTTCAGCTACAATGTAATTTTGTCTTGTTAACATTCATCGATCTGAGTTCGCTCTGTTTGGCATCGCTTTTGTTCTTGCGGAGGAGTTCAACGGGTAGTTAGTGTTAGTATTATTATTATTAGTCTTATGTTATGTTATTTAATTGTAACAGTATTAACTTAGTATTTCCTATATGTTAGGAGTAGTTACAGGTTAGTTCTGATATACTATTGTATCTTCCTTTACGGTTTCCAATTGAACGAATTAATCCTTCTAATCTGGTATCAGACTTTGGTATCGATCCTCTCCACCACATATTACCCCCTCTCACCTTTTTTTTCTCTCTCCGGCCATGGCATCCGAATCTTCTGAGCGTACAGTCTCCGCAGGTACACCATCTCCGGCTGCTTCCAATCCTCTGGCAGGGGCACACCACTATGTGTCCATGAAATTAACAACCCGGAACTTTTTGTTCTGGAGGACACACCTGGTCCCCTTTCTCCGCAGTCAGGACCTGCTTGGTTACGTTGATGGGAGCATCAAATGTCCGCCTGCCTTCATCACGCCGGAATCCGGCGAATCCACGTCGGCAGTCACGCCGGCCAGTGCAGCAGTGCCCAATCCGGCTTACAAAATATGGGAGAAGCAAGATCAGGCCATCCTCTCGCTTCTCATCTCATCAATGGCGGATGAGATTCTCCATTTGGCTGTCGGCAGGACCACCTTGGCCGAGGTGTGGAGTTCGATAATTGCCGCTCTCGGCTCCTCGAGTGAAGCTTGCTGTCTCAATTTATTTGGGCAGTTCCAAATGCTCTAGCAGGGGAATTCCACCACCACGGAGTATTTAGGCCGAGCCGAATTACTCGTAGAATCGCTCGCGCTCGCCGGTCGTCCTCTGTCGCTCACGGAACAAAATCTCTACGTGTTCCGTGGGTTGCGGCCGGAACTCAAGGCCATGGCCACCTCGCTTACGGCAACAGGGTCTCCGGTCTCGTTAGCTCACCTCTCTGATTTTTTGCAGGCTAACGAATTCATTTTAGTCGATGACTATCCATCTGCAGCTGATATGGGTTCATCGCACACTGCCCTTTATACAGCCGCTGGTCGCGGCAGTGCTGGACCTCATGGTGGCGGATGGCAGTCGCACCAATCGCAGCACCAGCAGCCCGGTCGCGGTGGTCGCTCTGGACGGCATGGACAGCAGCGTGGTGGCGGGCGCGGTGGTCGCGGTGGTCCTCGGTGCCAAATCTGCCGAAGCCACGGACACACCGCCGTTTACTGCTTCAAATGCTACACCACACAGCCTCCGCAAGCCCACGTCGCGGTCTCGGGCGAGGCTCCGTCTGCGGCAGTACCGCCCTCCGGCGATGGGTGGTTCCCGGATACGGGGGCTACGGCTCATGCTACGCCGAACCCCGGGATGATGAGCCATTCTGATGAATATGTTGGGTCTGACGTGTTACGCGTTGGGAATGGCGCAAGTCTGACGATCTCGCGAATTGGACATGCATCTATCCCATCTCAGTCTAAAACTCTGCATTTATCTGACATTCTTTATGTTCCGTCTTTGTCTGTTCCGCTTTTGTCTGTACATAAATTCACAAAAGAAAACAATGTTTATTTTGAATTTCATAATAATTGTTTTCTTGTGAAGGATTCCACGACCAAAGCCACGCTACTTAAAGGTCCCACCTCAGGCGGTCTGTACAAGCTCCCGGTCTCCTGGTCACATGTTGCTTTTGTCAGTTCCCGGACTTCTCCCGCAGTTTGGCACAGCCGGCTCGGTCATCCGCATAAGCAATTCTTGAATAAAGTGCTTCAAAATTGCCCGGTCACCACAAATAAAACTGTGTCGTTGGAGTCTTGCACGACATGTCATCTTGGGAAGTCCTCAAGATTTAAGTTAGATAGGGTTTCGAATTCCAGTGAAAATGTATTAGATTTACTTTACACTGATATATGGGGCCCTTCTCCTGTAATATCTACAAACGGTTATCGCTATTTTGTACTGTTTGTAGATGATTTTTCGCGTTTCTGCTGGTTTTATCCGTTACGGGTAAAATCAGACATATATAAAATATTTGAGTCTTTTCGTGTCTTGGTAGAGCGACAGTTCTCGCGCTCTATCAAATCTATTCAATCCGATTTAGGGGGTGAATACCGTAAGTTGCATAACACTTTCGTACAACTTGGTATAAATCACCGTCAGTCGTGTGCTTACACACATGAACAGAATGGGCGAGTTGAGCGCCGAAACCGACATATTGTCGAAACCGGGTTAGCTTTACTCGCCGAAGGTAAAGTCCCCCAACAATACTGGGACTACGCCTTTGAAACAGCTACTTGCTTGATAAACTTCCTACCGTCATCAGCTATACAGTTTGATACACCATATACCCGTCTCTTTAAAACTCCACCCCCATACACTTTCTTACGTGTCTTCGGGTGTCGGTGCTATCCATATCTACGCCCATATAACAGGCACAAGATTAAATATCGCTCGGCACCCTGTGTCTTCCTAGGTTACCCAACCTCCTTTAGGGGATACAGGTGCATTGATCTGACGAGTGGGAAAACCTACATCTGTCGTCATGTGCGTTTTGACGAAACTGTGTTTCCTTTTTCAACAGGGCCAACTCAACAAGGCATTACTCACCCGTCTTTACCGTGGGCAGTTGGGCCTATTGTACCGCCTACGGAGGTGGCCTATACACCACCTACTCCTGCTCAGTCTCCTGCAGGACCGGAACCCGTGCCACTAGCCAGTGAACCACCTCGGTTGGCTATTACACATACAGCACCAGCACGGACTAGGAAACCACGGGCTAAACCCCAGAGCCGAGATCACGTCATGCGCCTCCGTCATATGACTAAAGGCGCAGATGAACAGTTTCATGCACTGACTATCAGCACTGATCCAACTTGCTACTCTCAAGCCGTAGGACACCCTCATTGGCGCGAGGCTATGGATCAGGAATTTAATGCATTATTGCATAATAACACTTGGCAGTTAGTAGCTCCGGAATCACATATGAATATCATTGGTTGTAAGTGGGTGTTCCGCACAAAGCGGAAGGCTGATGGTTCTATAGAGCGCTACAAGGCACGCCTTGTAGCTAAAGGGTTCAATCAGGTTGCAGGTGAGGACTTTTTTGACACGTTCAGTCCGGTGATTAAGCCGACTACGGTACGGATGCTGTTTGCTCTAGCTGTATCACATAACTAGACCTTACGTCAATTGGATGTCCATAATGCCTTCCTTAATGGACATCTATCTGAGACCGTTTATATGAAACAACCACCAGGCTATGAAGATCCGACTAATCCTGGTCATGTGTGTCACCTACAGCGTTCTCTCTACAGCTTGAAACAAGCACCGCGGGCCTGGTTCAAGCGTTTACACGATTTTCTGTTGTCTGCAGGGTTTAATTCGTCAAAAACGGATGTGTCTTTATTCTACTACACGTCGGGGGATGCATGAGTGTTCTTAATTGTGTATGTTGACGATATTATAATGATGGGAAACGACTCGGCTCTAGTCACCACTTTATTACAGCGTCTGGCTTCTGCTTTTAAAATTCGTGATCTCGGCAGTCCACGGTTTTTCTTGGGTATAGAAACAGTTCCTACTCAGAAGGGTATTCTATTATCACAATGCCGGTATATGACTGATCTACTTGGGCGGTCTGGGATGGCTGACTGTAAGCCACTAACTACACCGGCTGCTATCACAAAGACAATTATATCAGCAGATGAGTTACACGACAATCCTACTCAATATCGCCGTATAGTTGGGGCACTGCAGTATTTAACTATTACTCGGCCTGATCTGGCATACGCGGTCAATCGACTATGCCAGTTCATGCACTCGCCAACTACAGAACACTGGGGTCTTGTTAAAAGGGTCCTGCGGTACATCAAGGGCACACTTGACTACGGGTTGCGTCTTTCACCATCATCCTCCACTGTGATTCATGCATATTCAGATTCAGATTGGGCTGGGTGTCCTGTTGATCGCAAGAGCACGAGTGGTTTCGCTGTTTATCTCGGGACTAATCTTATCTCTTGGTTATCCAAGAAACAGCGTACCGTTGCGCGTTCGTCCACTGAAGCAGAGTACAAAGCATTAGCTGACGTATCCGCTGAAGTAACGTGGGTAGTATCTTTACTCCGGGAGTTGGGGTTGCACTCTGGGGAGCCGGCCACGCTATGGTGTGATAATCTAGGTGCTACTTATCTATGCGCGAATCCAGTTTTCCATGCACGCACGAAGCATGTGGAAATCGACTACCACTTTGTTCGGGATAAAGTCGCCAGTGGGGATTTTCTGGTCAATTATGTGTCTACTGCTGATCAGCTTGCCGATATCTTCACCAAACCGCTGCCGTCACCTCGTTTTACTACTCTACGGGACAAGCTCAATGTTGTTCCTCACCCTTGTGCTTGAGGGGGTGTGTTAGTATTATTATTATTAGTCTTATGTTATGTTATTTAATTGTAACAGTATTGGCTTAGTATTTCCTATATGTTAGGAGTAGTTACAGGTTAGTTCTGATATACTATTGTATCTTCCTTTACGGTTTCCAATTGAACGAATTAATCCTTCTAATCGTTAGTACCCGTGAAAACCACTCGCAAACATTCATGCACCTAGGTGCACCTAATTATAACGTCAGGTGCACTTAGATCTGGACACGTGGCGCGTGTGAGATCGTTCTCAGTTCTCTCCTGGGTAGTTTATATATATATATATATATATATATATATATATATATATATATATATATATATATATATATATATATATATAGGGGTGATCACATGTGGCCATGTTGTTAGGTGTGGTCATATGGTCAATTATAGGCCATTAGATTATATCCAATGAATCATATTAATCAAGATTTTTTCAGTATTTTCGCGCACATTCTCCTACCCAGCGACTTGCAAGAGTAAACTCGTCATAAAACACCGGAATAGGAAAAATCACATTGTTGTGTGTTTTATTACACTATTGGTGCATATTGTCAACACTGTTGGTGTATTCTAGAACCCGGCCGCTATAAATGGCCATTGTAATTACCATAACACGGGAATACACTATTGGTGTGTTTCACTGTGGTGTGTTTTATTACACTATTGGTGTATGTTGTCAACACTGTTGGTGTATTCTAGAACCCGCCCGCTATAAATGGCCACTGTAATTAACATAACACCCCCACTTACAAAAATGCGCGAAAATTTTCAGAATTACCACTGCCGTTAGATTAAACTGATTCAACGACACAGATACGACCACACGACCACACCTAATGACATGACCACATATGAGCGCTCTTCTATATATATATATATATATATATATATATATATATATATATATATATATATATATATATATATATATATATATATATATATATATATGGGTTGCATTCACATGCAAACCCCCTTAAAATACAAACATGAGGACAAAATCTAGCCATAGGATGTGTTTAGATGGATGGATTAGATGTACGCTTAGTAACTACACGCATGTTATGATTTTAATGTAAACCAGGGCAATAATGGTAATGCATTTTCAACGTAAATAAGAAATATATTTAATTTGTATAATCAGCTAAAATTAAGGAGGTTTAAGTATGGTAGGACTTGACTACATCCCTGGCAACGCAATCCCTTTCACGATCGATTTTTTGGAGAACTGTTACCAGCGTGCTCACAAAGAAATTACGATGGCCACAGACTCCATGGATGGCGAACAACCAATAAATTACGATGTCAACCAAGACTCCATGGACGGTGCACGCCCAGGTAATTAGGACAAAAACTGAACAGTATTATTGTATGTTGTTTGAGTGCTAATGAACATAATGCAATATGTGTGTATAATTTGTTTGGGGTCTAAAGTAGTGAATATTTGTCTCGGTACGTACTCGTAATAGAGGGTTATGAATATGTTGAATAGAAATCTGCAGAATTAGCAGGTATGGAGAGGATATAATTGTTGGGAAGTTAGGGGCGGCGTTATTTGGGTTTATGTGCACACACCATTAGGCGCATGTGCACACATGCGAACATAGCTGCAAACTATGTAAATGTGGAAGAACATGTGCGCATTGGCTATTTTGTGCTCTATAGTGTGTCCAATTCTAGCTGTGCTGCCAGAAACGAATAATGCAACTTATATGAACACAATGCAATACGTGTGTATAATTTGTTTGGGGTCAAAAGTAGTAAATATTTGTCTCGGTCTATACTCGTAATAGAGAGTTATGAATATGGTGAATAGAAATTTGTAGAATTAGCATGTATGGTGAGGATACGATTGTGGGGAAGTTAGGGGTGACGTTATTTGGGTTTGTGTGCACACACCATTAGGCGCATGTGCACATATGCGAGCATAGATGAAACTATGTAAATGTGGAAGAACACGTGTGCATTGGATATTTTGTGCTCTAATGTGTGTCCAATTCTAACTGTGCTGCCATAAATGAATAAGGCAACTTATATTAACGCAATTACAATGTTGAGTTATAAGCGAAGAGCATAATGGAGGACGAATAACGAATTGCGACATGGTCGTATTACCAGATGGAACAAAACAGTGGTTACCTACTTGCAAAATCGAAAGCACACCATATGTTGGGTAACAATTTGCAACACTAGAAGACGAACTCGACTTCTACCGGGCATATTTTGGGTGTAATTTATTAAGTTGAACATGCACATAGTTTAACGCCAACGTGCACACGTGTATTTATTCACTAAGTGTAAAAGCTAATAAAGCACTAGTCATTTATATGAAATTAATTTAGTTATTATCCTTGTGTGTAATGTTTTTAGACATGCGTGCGCACAGTTTGACGCCAATGTGCACACAGTTTGACGCCAATGTGCACATATGTATATAGTTACTAAGCCAATGAGCTAATGCTGAACTGGGAGTTTCTATGAGAATTGTTTGGTTTTGCATGCACGCAGTGTAACGCGAATGTGCACACGTTCCAGCTTGAGATTTATGCATGTAAAATTTATTTAGTTATTAGCCACGACTAAGATTTATTTAGTTAGTTGTGCATGCAAACTGTTTAACGTTAATGTGCACACATGTATTTTTTACTAAGCCTACACGGTAATAGTGAACTATTGACTTCTTTGAAATTTATTTAGTTATTATACATGGGTGTAATTTATTAAGTTGAACATGCACATAATTTAACACAAACGTGCACACATGTATCTATTCACTAAGTGTAAAAGCTAATAGCGCACTAGTCATTTATGTGAAATTAATTTAGTTATTATCGTTGTGTGCAATGTTTTTATACATGCGTGCATACAGTTTGACGCCAATATGCACACATGTACGTAATTACTAAGCCAATGAGCTAATGCTGAACTGGGAGTTTCTATGAGAATTGTTTGGTTTTGCATGCACACAATGTCACGCGAATGTGCACACGTTCCGACTTGAGATTTATGCATGTGAAATTTATTTAGTTATTAGCCATGATTGAAATTTATTTAATTATTAGCCATGATTGAGATTTATTCATTTGTGCAAGCTTGTGCACATGGTAATATAAGTGCGTGCACTCAGAGAATTTAATAAACACAGATATTTTAAGATCATAAAATTGTTACTACTAAACAGACAATAAATTGTGCATAAATAAATCTCTTGGAATCTCGTGTGATTAGGTGGGTGCACCCCTACGTTGAAAAAAATGAGCACATGGGTGCATCAAAATTATAGAGCAGCCATCGCAGAAGGCGCGGAGGAATATCAAGCCCCGACCTTGAAATCCAACAAAGCCCCAATCTCAAGCTCCCGAATATCAATTTTCCGTTGAAAGCTCAAACCCTTCAAGGCGTTAACCAATATCACATATTGTGCCCTCGTCAGAAGGAAGCAAACCTCCGAAGGAGTGGCAAACTCTGGAGACACAGACTGAGGGTTAATAACCGCGTCAGTACCCACAACCTCAGCAGTCGAAGGCCCCCACCCCCACCTCACCCCAACAACATTCTTAACAAATTTAGTACCAAACTCCTACAAAAACAACAGAAACCATCTTCTAGAACTAATAACCCACACAGCCATCAAAACAATAAAATAATAGACAACAAAGGTCACTAGCGCTTAGCCGGCATGCAGGAGTGTGCACGGATTACTGTGACAGTGTGCACAAACTACTATGATATAATTGATGCACATACCGAATCTGCCCCTAAGCACACTCCATTTTCCAACTAAACAGCAAAAAGAAAAAAGAAAAAAAAAAGCTGGTTATGTACATCTTTAAGTTGCACCTTATTAGCATTTGGTTGTTTACATGACTATTTAAATTTATCATACAAAGTTGTTTTATGTTCCTCAGTTTATATGGATGCTGTTAGATAAGTGTTTTAATCTAGACACATAACATAGTGACACTTTTATCTGTCCCTCTATCTTCGGTCGCTACTTAAATGAGTTTTTACTGATTTAGTGATTCATAGGCTCATTAGGTAAACTGGAAGAATTAGTGATACTGATATTATTCTGGTTATAGTTTTTCTTAAACTAATATGAAAACAGAATGATATTTTACTAATCATCCTGCAACTGACAAAATGTATCTAAATTGCATTCTAGCAAAGTGAAAAAGATTCAGGACTGTTTGCATATCCACAACAAGAAACTGCCACCAATACTGAAAACCAAAAAAAAAAAATCAAAAAAATCAAAAAAAAAATGAAGAAAACACAGACACCAAAAAGCACCCAAAAACCAACCCTAACCACAAACTAAGCACAATTTCATATACAAAATACAAAAATTGAACCCAAATTCGGGATCCCATCCACCGCAAACGACACCCACACGACTAATATGACTGAGCAAATGCATATCCACACCAAGAAAACGACAACACACAAACGAAACACAACAAGAACGACAAACAATGGCGAAAAAATGAATGGGGAATAAAAAATTACTTCTTCCGATACGGCGATTATGTGATCCCCGCCGCTTACCTCTAATGCGGTCCCCACTCACAACCATTCGGCTTGCTTGTGGACAAAGACAACGGAGAATAGAGGTCACGCGATGCAAAAAAAGAATGACGTCGGTAGAGAGAAATCTTCAAGCACGAGCCACGGAGAGAGAGAGAGAGAGAAGCCCGCTCATGTTTCAACAGGTACGTGCACGTGGGAGTAAAAACCGGACTGCCTAGGTTAATGTGAAGAAAAATACTAAATTACCCCCGCACTAATAATAAAAACAGCAAATATAAAATATTGTTAAAACCGCACACTACAGATTGGATGATCCAAACCGTCCAACACCCAAATCAAACGATTAAAAATAGTCCACACGTTTTTATTTTAAGGGGTGTTTTTATTTGAATGTAATTATATATATATATATATATATATATATATATATATATATATATATATATATATAATATATATATATATATATATATATATATATATATATAGGCTTGCAAGCGGCTTGACGAGTCTCGAGCCTAAAATATTTAGGTTCGAGCTCGACTCAATTATCTAACGAGCCGGCTCGAGCCGAGCTTTGACCGAGCGGCTCAGCTCATTTACAATCCTAGGCTAGGTTACCGAAAATGTCAGTAAATACAAGACAGTCTGTACTGTCAAGTAAGTATGCAACTATATCTGGGTTTGGAAAGTCTTAACTAGCCACTGGGATGGCTAAACTAGGTTGCTACAAACTGCTAGAAATATATGCAGTAGTATGTACTAACCACTTGTATGATTAGACTAGGGTACTGCACTACTGCTTAATCGCCAATACATGTGTTAATTGTGGGTTTAAGTTATGGAAATTAGAAGTGACTAGGATAAATCTCAAAGAGGATCCTAAATACTTCTCACTTGATAACTGTCACTAACTTGTCAATATAAATTAAAACACCCTTGGTGACGGTCACTAACATGTCAATATAAATTAAATCACCATTATGGATTAACCATCTCCCACAAATCCTAACATATTCAATGAACCAACCAACGACATTATGAGACATGTTGTTCCTATTTTTATTAGATCACTATCTATTCGTCATTTTTTTTTATTCTATTACTAGTATTTTTTATGCGCGATGCTCAAAAAATAGGTGCCCAATATTAATACATTATATTAAAATTTTAAATATATTTAGATTTTAGATATTTAAATTATTTTAAATAATAATAATAATAATAATAATGTAAATCATTTTTATAAATTTGATATTTATATTTATGTAATAATTAACATATAACTCAAATATTTAATGTGTATATATATTATTATTAATGAAGAAGATAAGAAAATATATGGTGGATGCATGTGCATGGTAACAATAGTGGAAAAGATAACGAAAATTATAACGGTAGGTGTATGTTTGTCCAAAATATTTTAATGTACAACCTTTATAGCATAATGTATAAAAAAACTTAACGGAAAAAATGGACATAAATCAGATGTATAACTTTCATTCACACTTATTATGTTTTTATTATTTAGATATGAGGTTTGGTAGCTATGAAATTCACTTTCCTGAGAAATAAAAGGTAGGAAAATTGTTTTCATGTTTAGTGTAATATTTGACTTAGGAAAGTCCAGGTAATCGTAATACAATTACGTGATCTCAAAGAAAGTAAATTCACATATGGGGTCATATGGTACTTTCCCATCAATTAAATTTTTGCGAAAATGTTCCAAGGAATATGTTTGATTAGAATAAGTTTACAAGACAAGTTAAGGGAAAATAATCAAATATGTCCTTAAACTTTAATTGAAAGTGTAATTAGATCTCTGAACTTAAAATAAAGTGCAATTAAACACTCAAACTTGACATTTTTGTGCATCTAAATCAATATCCGGTTATCTACATGGAATAACCAGTCATTAGGGTTCCGACAACAATACCAATGATAATTCCGGTGACTAAAAAATTCCGGCGAATGTTTAATTTGAAAAAAAAACCGATGACCTTCTCCAGTGGTCAAAATACATTAATAAACCATATGTCAAAAAATTACCGTCTACAATAAGAATATTCAAAATACAAAGCAATACATATGTATAAAAAGATCACCAAGCCATCAAAGTTAATTAAGTACCCAAAAATTAAAATCAAGTTAATCAAGTTATATATAAACATTGTGCAATGGTGGGAGAAACAAATTTTTATATTTATAATAGACTTTTAACCTGGCATAAAAAATGATAAAATACAAAATTAAATAAATTTGGTAGATTCTTAGTTTACCCAAGAAAAAAGAATCTTACCTCCCATATGTGGGATTTACTTTTATTGATATCATGGAATGTGATTTCTATTGAAGCGAACTGTCCTAAGTTAAAGATTGCACCAAACGTGTGAATAATTTTCTTACATTTAAATTTTTTTGGAAAGTTCAATCTTTCATGCTTAACAAACACCCTCGAAATATGTAAGATTTTTTTTTTTTTCCCGGGTGACTAAAATTCCAATTATTATTGCGTGGATCATGTAGACCACGGTTCAAAACACATAAAATACATTATTTATTTATTCTAACTCATAAAATACATTATTTTACCCTAAAATATTTATTATTCTAACACGCGGGTAGAACAACAATTTTTTTTTTTTTTTTTTTTGTAACATAAAAAATGACATCCTTTTAAACCATGATCCACAAAACTGTGTGGACGGTTAGTTGCCCTAAAATTCTTAGACCAACTAAAACATAAATTTATTTTATACATTATTTAAAAAAAAATAAAAATCCTATTTATGGTTTTGAAGCAGATCGGCAACAGGAAAGCGAAGAGAAGTACGCCCGAACAAAACGACAGCGTGTTATCTTCAACTTTGATTTCTTTCCGTATTAAGAGAGCACAAATCCCCAATTCATACAAAATCGCACTGCCCACCTGCTAGGTTGTGCTGAGTTCGCGGGCGGCTGCCACCTTGCCAAGCTTTGTATCGACTCAAACCCTAATTTTGGTTAGCTAATTCTCTCCTTCCTCTCTCTTCGTACATATGTATCCCATCAACGCCGTGATTTCGCGTCACCGATAAATTAAATTGTTGCTCTGTTATTGTGCGAATTTTCAATGACGTTTTGAGTATTTTATTGGCATTGACACTGCGAATTATAGGTTAAATTGGAATTGCTTTTGTTTCTGAGATTAATTTTTTTTTTTTTTTTTAATGTTTTGATTTTTAGGGTATCTTGATGTATATGTACTCCGTTATGTTACATTCATTGTTTATTTGTGAAGTTGATAATGTTAGAAGGATTAAGACCCTAAGTTGTTAGTTAAACACCGTAGTTTTTATTAAAAAAAGTTAATTTCGAGCATGTAGTTTAATCTGGGAAAGAGTGAATGACAGAAAGTGCCATCTAATTCTTAGTTACTTCTTTTTGTGTAATCTTATGTAGTTTTGAGTATGCAGTTACTTCTGGAAAAGAAAGTACTATCTGATTCTTAATTATATTTGTGCCATCTGCTATGATGTTTAGATAGGATATTGTTGTTATTATTATTAGTTTTTCATGTATTTATGAGTACTTATGCTCAAATTCATCATTTATAATGCGTTTCTCTGCTTCTTTAGGTAGCTTTTCAGCATGGCTACGGCTGAGGCAGCAACATCTTCACTTGGACCACGCTATGCACCTGATGATCCAACTTTGCCTCAACCTTGGAAGGGATTAATTGATGGTACTACTGGATTATTGTACTACTGGAATCCTGAAACTAATGTTACACAATATGAAAAGCCATCAGCCTTGCCTCCTCCACTGCCACCTGGCCCACCTCCTGCGTCTACTACTCCTAAACTTGCTCCCATACCAGGGGCTAGTGCTGTGCAATCAAGTGATGTTCAAGGCCAGCAAAGTCTTCACATGCAACAAGGGCAGCACATGGCACCACTATTGCAGCAGCATTCACAAGTAACACAGCAGGGTCCTTCACAAGTTCCGACTGGACAGCAACAGGGATCACTTGTGAGCCCTACCATGCAACAGCAACTACACCATGTACCTCAACATAGGCCCCATGGAATTCAACAGCAAAGTCACCAAATGGCTACACAACCAGGGCCACAGATTTCTCAACCAACAATGCAGCACATTCCACAGCCACAGGTCCAGCAAGTGCAGCCATTTCAGGGAGCGCAGACAGGGAAACCCCCAGATTTTCAATTTACTCAGCACCAGACTTCACATGGTTTGTATCCTCAGAACATGAATTCCCAAGGCCAAAATGTTCCAGAGCAGCAAAAACCTCATATCATGCAAGGACAACATTTTCCCCATCAGCAAGAGCATAATATGGAGTTCCGTCAGAGGGAGGATGTAGATTTCCCCCAAGGCAAACAAATTGGGTTTTCACCATTGCCCTTTCAGTTACCTGGCTCAGCATCTGGACAGACCCCAACTCTTGGAGCCAATCCCTCCCTTGGGCCTCAAATGGCTGTCCAACCCTCTCAAACAATGCAATATAGCGGTTCTTCAGTCAATATGCAGCAGCCGACATCTCAAGTACAGTGGCAGCACAGTGGGACAGATTCAGTTCACCACCAACATTCTTCCCGGTTCCAAAGTCAGATGGGTCCAGGGTCATCTCATGGTCAGCAGTTAAATGTGCCACCACTTGGATCAAAGACGAGCTATGAAGAAAACTCACATGGAAGAGTAGGAAATAAATATTTTGATAATACTAGTAAGGATGGCCATGCTATGCCTCCTCAGGCTTCACATCCCACACTTGCAGCCATACCCCATGCAAGATCTCAGCATGTGAGTTTCTGTTTAAACTTCAGTGGAATTCACACCTCTGAGTTATGAACCTTTGTCCTCATGTTCCACATTAAGTTCAGTAATTTATTTATTTATTTTTTCTTTGCTTGTGTGTGTGTTTGATCAATTCTTTTATTGTAGATTTACTAGTTTACTTGTAATTGGATTTCTTTAGCTGCAAACTTTTGCATGTCTTTCGTATTATGTTTCTGTAATGAAAACTAAAAGATGGGCGAAATTTATTTGTTGCATATTCTTATTAGGAGATGAGGATGGGGGATATAACCGTTCAGAATCCGGCACATGGTTTTCCTGGTGGATTTAGTAATGCTGGAGGTCCACCTTTGCATAATACTTATGGTCAAGCAACAGGTGGCCCCCAATTTCCAAATCATGCCCAAATGCGGCCTCCTGCAGCAGTTATGGGACCTTCAGATGCTGAGGATTATCGTCAAAAACATGAAGTCTCGACAATGGTTTGTATATTTTAATGCCATTCATTCCTTCAACATTGTAAGAAATTCATGATCTTGACACCTATTTGAATGTTTATTATTTAATTTTTCAAGTTGTTACTGATAGTGTTTATTGTGCTTAAATTTCTTTGCTTTCATCTGCTGCTGTATGCATTTCTTCTGTTTCTTTTGGATTTGGTTTATTTTGACAGTCTGAGATTGATTTTAACTGAAATAAAATTCCATTGTCTAGGGAGATAATGTTCCGGATCCATTCATTACATTTGAAGCTACAGGCTTTCCTCCAGAAATACTTAGAGATGTAAGTACTATGCTCATAGCTTGACCTTCTGTACTGAAGTGGTACTTCAATTGTTTTTGAAATCTGTGTAATATTTTTATATTTTAGACATGCTTCAAGCTTAACAGTTCTCGCTTGTCGCAGGTGCGATATCTGCTCCGGAGGAGGAGCACATGTCGTACGCTGTAGTGCTATGATATGCTCATACTTCCACAACCAGTATATTGAGTTTTTGAGGCTGCAAAATGGATAATTGGAGCCTCTTGCTGTAGCTTCTTGAAGGGTGGTTGGCCCTTCATCCAAATTACAATATTTGTGACTGGGATTTCTAGCTTATTGGCTCTGCCTCTTCTGTTTTTATTGCTCTCTTTTGTTGCCTTGAGTTGCTTCTGTAAGCAACTGCATTCCTTCAAGTTTCTTTTAGGATCCTTTTCCAATTTTCAGTTTAGTCAGCTATTTATTCATTCTCAAAGTTCAGATCCATTTCCCTATCTCAGGCTTATAGTAATTCTAACGATATCCTTATATGTGCTTGAATGCTCTCCCCAGTTGGTTTTGTTGATATTAATTATGCTTCTAATTTTCCTGCAGATTCATTTTGCTGGATTCACAGCTCCTACACCAATTCAAGCACAAACATGGCCCATTGCACTACAAAATCGGGATATTGTAGCGATTGCCAAGACAGGATCTGGCAAAACGCTGGGTTATCTTATGCCTGCATTTATCCAGCTTTCCCGACGGCGCAATAATCCCCAGAATGGGCCAACTGTATTAGTCTTAGCTCCAACGCGTGAGCTTGCAACACAAATACAGGATGAAGCACTAAAATTTGGACGATCATCAAGGGTTTCTTGCACAGTAAGTTGACAATTGATTAGTCAGTATGTACTCTCATTATTGTGGAATGAACTATAGATTCATCTCTTTGTTTCAGTGCTTGTATGGCGGTGCGCCTAAGGGTCCACAGTTAAAAGAGCTGGAGCGAGGAGCAGACATTGTTGTGGCAACTCCAGGTCGGCTCAATGACATCCTTGATATGAAGAGGATTGATTTTCGACAAGTTTCTCTTCTTGTGCTTGATGAGGCTGATCGAATGCTTGACATGGGTTTTGAGCCTCAGATTCGTAAGATTGTGAATGTAATACCTTCCAACAGACAAACTCTTATGTACACAGCAACCTGGCCTAAGGAGGTTAGAATGATAGCTAGTGATCTTCTTAGAAATCCTGTCCAAGTGAACATCGGCAGTGTCAATGAGCTTGAAGCCAACAAGTCCATCACGCAGGTAATCCAAACAACTTAGAATCTAGGAATTGAAATATGGACTATTATTATAATTTAATAAATAATTCTTGATTCTGGTAATTGAGATACTGTTGTTACCCCCCCACCAAAATAAATAATAATATAATAGTAATAGTAGTAGTAGTAGTAGTAGTAGTAAACAAAAAAGTTCGAAGAACTGTATTGAAGTTCAATCCTCTGTATGCTCTGCCCTTAGTATATATTGAAGTAGAGGTAACTAACTTAACTACAGCTATTGCATAATGGGAATGACTTGTGGTGCAGTATGTTGAACTAGTCCCACAAATGGAGAAGCAGAGACGCCTCGAACAGATTCTTCGATCCCAAGAACGAGGCTCTAAAGTTATTATATTCTGCTCCACAAAAAGACTGTGTGACCAGCTTGCACGAAGTATTGGACGTAGCTTTGGTGCTGCTGCTATCCATGGAGATAAGTCTCAGGTTGAGAGGGACTGGGCTCTCAATCAATTTAGAAGTGGAAGGTCCCCAATTTTAGTTGCAACTGATGTTGCTGCAAGGGGGCTTGACATACGGGATGTAAGGTGAGGCATTTTTACTTTTGACTGGATGCCACTGTAAGTGGTGACCTGTAATTTTTCCCTGAATCATTACTTTGGTGCAAAACTGTGTCCATAATACCTTTGTTTTTTTCTCTGATTCTCTATTTTCACTTAACCAATAATATATTTGTGTCTACTTGTTGCAGGGTTGTAATAAACTATGATTTTCCAACTGGGATTGAAGATTATGTTCACCGGATTGGGAGAACTGGGAGGGCAGGTGCAACAGGTGTTTCTTATACTTTTTTCTCTGATCAAGACTGGAAATATGCAGCTGATCTTGTTAAAGTTCTGGAGGGTGCCAACCAGCAAGTGCCTCAACAAATCAGAGATATGGCTCGACGCAATGGCCCCAACTTTGGCAAGGATCGAGCTGAGATGAACCGTTCTGATTCAGGTATGGATAATGGAGTTCGTACACGTTGGGATTCAGGTGGTCGAGGTGGAATGAGGGATGGTGGTTTTGGGGGAAGAGGGATGAGGGATGGTGGTTTTGGTGGGCGTGGTGCAGCAAGGGATGGTGGCTTTGGAGGTGTTGGTGGAAGGGATGGTGGTTTTATGGGCCGCGGTGGAAGAGATGGCAATTTTGGTGGTGGTCGTGGGGGGATGAGGGATGGCCATTTTGGTGGGCGCGGTGGACGAGTTGCTCCTGGGGGTCATACAGGTTGGGATAGGAATGACCGGGGTCCACGTGATAGGTTCAACAACTTAGATTCGAGGGGACGTGGCAGAGGCCGTGGGGCAGGGCGCTTTGATAATAGAAGGGACACCTCTAATATGAGTAGGGGCAGAGGCCACAGCCCGAGTCCTGAGAGGGTGAGAACATGGGGTCGTAGCCGAAGTAGAAGTCGAAGCACAAGTAGGAGCCGCAGCCGAAGCAGGAGTTACAGCAGGAGTCGTAGTAGAAGCAGGAGCTGGAGCCGCAGTTATAGTCCAAGACGGAGCCGCAGTGTCAGCAGGAGCAGGAGTCGCAGCCGCAGCTATGATAGATACCGTAGGAGGCCTCGCGTAAGTAAATTTGATCAAATGGAGGTGCCTGGTGCTGAGGTTGCTCCTGAGCTAGGGAGGCAATCGGTGGCTGTACATCCTCCTCCGCAAGGAAGTGGATTTGCAGGAGGAGCTGCTGATACGGCAGAGCAGAAATCAGGTGTTGAGGCTGCTGCTGCTCCTGAATCTGCAATGTCCCCCATGTCTCCAGGTACACAGGGATTTTCTGGTGCTAACCCTGCCACCCATTAATTAATAATCCATAATTTCAAGGTCTTATAAAATACAGCATACCAAGGAGATAAAATTTTTGATTAGCTGTAACCAAGTTCTTGTGAAGGGGTTCATTTAGAGACACCCTCATGTTTGCCTTCTGTCTGTCTGGTCATCATCTTCTACTGCCTGCCCCCAGTTGGTCTAAATCCTGAGTGGATTCTCCCTTTTGTGTTTCATTGTTTTGAGATTCATTTGATGGATGGATGAATCTCTGCAATATTTTATTTTATTTTCCTCCAATTTTATTTGCCTCTTCCCCCCAGGGGGAGTTTTCCTCAACATCATGTAGAATAGAAGGCTGGCTTTCACTATTTTGATTGTTGTCGTATTATTAGACTAGTAGAACTAGTATAATTATAACAATGCATGCACCTTTGAACTCATTGAAAATGAGAGTTCGGCTACAAATTATTTTGTGAACAAAATACGTTATTTTATATAAAAAAAAAGTCATTAATGACATCAACTAGTGCATTGTGCATATTTACATTTATTATGTACTATGTTTATATGCTTTATATCTTAATAAATTTAAATATTAATGTATATAAACATTAAAATTGCAGATATTCCATATATATTTCTATTTTGTGATAGGTATATAATATTCTTTTTATATATTTATAAAAATAAAACTTAATGTACATAATTACATAAACATTACACTATATATGTTAAAAAAATTTAATTGTTGGTATATTATATCTAGTGAAAATGACACTTTTTCTCCCTAAGTTATATATTTATAGCACTTTTTCCCCCTCAATTATTTAAGTGGCTCTTTTTCCCCCTGAAATGTTAAATGGACATATTTACCCTTAAAATAAATATTTCATTTATTTTTATTCTCCAACAAATTATTACTATAATTTGGTTCAAACCAAACAGATACTATATCAACCAAACCAAAATATTCCAATTACAATTTATAATCAAAACGCGATATTTAGAGTTTATTAAAATCGCGAACCGGAATGACCGGTTCATATTCCGAACTGAAAAAATAAAATACATTTATTGTTGAATTTAGACTATTTTAAAATAAAAAATAAAATTTTAAAATAAAGACGGTTCAAAATCGCGACTGGATCTGGAACTGTCGGTTCACGGTTCATGATCTAGTTTTTTTTTTTTTTTTTAATTCTTAAATTTAATAAATTGAAATCAAAATATTGGGTTCTAGATCTGAATCATAACTGAAAATTTTTAATTCGATTGCTATAGTGTCTGGTTCAGTTCGAACCGAACCGTGGTAATCGCTACATATACGCAATAATTTGTTGGAGAAATAAAATAAATAAAATGCTTACTTTAAGGGTAGAAATGTCAATTTAATATATTTGGGGAAAAAACCACCACTTTTAAAATAATTGAAGGGGCTAATGTGCTTACATAAATAATTGAGGGGGAAAAAGTGCTATAAGTATATAACTTAGGGGAAAAAAGTGTCATTTTCCCGTATATCTATTTTTAATTTTTAATTTACTTTGTAGGTTCTTTTATATGCTCATAAAACAAAGCTTAATGTTTATATATATATATATATATATATATATATATATATATATATATATATATATATTACACTAAAGTAATTTTGAAAAAAAAATTAATGTATATCATTTAAAAGATCTTCGGAGGCCAAACCTTTCATAATTTCTTTCATTTAAGGGTGTGTTTGAAGGGACAATTAGACATCCAACCTGTAATCACATCGACCCAATTGCAAGAGTCTTCTATATATACAATTTTTGCATATACACTTTTTCTTATCATTTCGTCTTGAGCCTTTTATATATACAATTTTTGCATATACATTTTTTCTTATCATTTCGTCTTTTTGGTCTCATGTACCATATAATGTTACATTTAAGAAATTGAAATATAAATAATAGTTAATAAAGAAACATATTATGTTACATATAAGAAATTGAAATATAAATATATAGTTAATAAATAAATAAAAGAATAGTCAAAGGAAAAGAGTTCTCATATAGATTAGATACCAGGAATAAGGTTCAAATTGACCACTGAACGTAACTTGAAAATGCAATTGGGTCACTGAACGAAAAAAAAGTGCAATTAAGCCACTGAACGAAAAAAAAGTGCAATTAGGCCACTGAACACTTCAAATGTATGCAATTTCACTTGATAGCAGATTACCTGCTTACGTGGTAGCTGAGTTGGTATTTTTAATAATTTTAAATAATTTTTAATAAATTTTAATAATAATTTTTTTTAAAAAATTAAAAAAACGATGGTAAGCAGGTAAAATTTAAAATTTATTTTTAAAATTTATTAAAAAATTAAAATTTATTTTTAAAATTTATTTTAAAATTTATTAAAAATTATTTTAAAATTATTAAAAATGCCAACTCAGCTGCCATGTAAGCAGGTAACCTACTAAAATTGATGGGTAACCTGCTATCCGGTAAAATTGCATACATTTAGAGTGTTCAGTGACCTAATTGCACGTTTTTGGAGTGTTCAGTGGCCTAACTGCATTTTTTTTTCTTCGTTCAGTGGCCTAATTGCATTTTCAGGTTACATTCAGTGGCCAATTTGAACCTTATTCCTAGATACAAAATATACAAATACATAGTCGTTAAAAAATGAGCATTTTTTTAAAATGCTCGGTAAGACGGGGATTGTATATATATATTTTTTTCTGTTTTATGAAAAGGGAAATCTTGTTTACCCGGTCATTGTACATTTTGAATTAGGAAGCCAAGTGAAGTATGCATGAAGTAGTTAGATACTTCTTCTATTCTTTTCCCTGGTGCAATTGGGTCATACTGGACTTGAACTAGATTCATTTTCGAGAGCGATTCATCCTTTAATTTTCGGGAGCGATTCATCTTTTCCGAACGCATCATACAACTCTCCGCTGTACTGCGCTCTTCAAGTGTGCTTGTTCACCCCTTCTTCCTTACCTTGGCAAGTCTTTGTGAAAGAATTCCAATGAAAAAAAGAAGGCGTTAAGAGACCCTCCTAGCCCAACCATAGACACTCGAAGATTCTTTTTCAAACCTGCTCCCATTTGGAGTCAAGAGGTACATAAATAGATACATCCCATTGCACTGATGTAGTGACTGAGGGGGTCGAAGACCAAGAAGTGAGTTATTTATACCCAATAATCATTTTTTAAGTTTCCGGTGTTTGAATGCGCTTGGAAAATTCAGTCAACGAAAAATATTTTTTGTTTATTGAATTTTTTTTTTACATTTTGACGAAAAATGACTTCCATTAAATTTAACAAAAGTCATTTTCTGGACCAATGCTACATCAACCAACAATGATGAAGGATTCCAAACCAAGGCTCTCGTTTCCCGCAGAAACCAGTCTGCCGGAACCATCGTTTTTGAAAACATCAGTAATAACTCGTGATGAAAACAGCAGTAATAACAGCCATTGATGCCGGTGGAAGCAGCAGAAAAAATGGTATGGAGTATGACTCAGCATTTTTCATTGTCAAATACTACATTATTTTACTTATTTGTACACAGCTAATATGACATTTTTTCTCCCTTGAAACGGTGGCATTTGCTTAAAATTCTCCATTTTCATAGACTTCGTCATTCATACAGTACACCGCAATCTAAGGAGTCCAATTCTTGTCCGGAGTTTCTTTTTTCTTCCCCCAATCTACGGAGTCCAATTCTTGTCCGGAGTTTTTTTTCTTCCTCCAATCTACGGAGTCCAATTCTTGTCCGGAGTTTATTTTAGAGATAATACCATCTAAGGTCATTCCAGTATAGTGATTTTGCCGTATTTAGTCTGAAACTTTCAAATTGATCACCCATTGTCCTTTGAATTTTAAATTGTTACCATCTGTGGTTCAAGTTATCCATCCATGGTCCTTCAACTATCAATTTTAAATCATCCATGGTCCTTCCAAGAGAATCACAACCGGTTAAATTTTGAAAGTTGAAAAGGATCATGATTCATGAGTGGTTAACTTGGACCACAAATGATAACAATTTAAAAGTTGAAGGACTATAGATGATCAATTTAAAAGTTTAGGACTAACCGTGGCAAACCTATTGTACTCGAAGGACCCAGTATGACATTAACTCTTTATTTTATGGATTAGTCTCCGTATGTTCTAGAAAAAAAATATAGTAATAAACATTTTGTTGGACGGAGGTCGATGAAGGGCCAAGTCTATTTCGAAAATGTGACAGTATATAAGAAAATAAAATTATGCATTCACTACAATAATTATTGTGTGGATCATAAATAAAAAGTACATTATTTTGTATATTATCAAATAATATAGTTTTAGTATATTAAAAATATACCTTGTATTAAAAAAAAGTACACTATTTGAGTACTGAAAATACATTATTTTGTATAATGTACATTCAGTATACAAGTAATGTAATTTTTATTTTTATGGTCTCCCTTCCGCTATGAGCTATAGATTTTAGCATAATAGTAAACTTGATCTAACCAATCCTTGTACCATGGACCAAGGTTCACAGTGCACTATGGATCTTGGTGCATGTGTATGTATCTTATGTTGTGAATTTTTGTGTCTTGTATTATGAACATAGAGTTCTGTAATTGTGAATATAGAGTTCAATAATTGTGAATATGAAGTTCAAAAATTATGAGCATACAATTTTATAATTATAAACATAGAGTTCAGTAATTATGAATATAGAATTGTGTTCACATTGCAAGGTGGATATTGTTCAATGGCATAACAATTGAATAACAATTTTCTGGGCCTATACTTGTTTTTCCACCGAGTTTTACTACATATACTCGCAAATCTTACTCCATTAATTTTATTCTCTGATGTGACAGACTCTGATAAGCTACCTTTTCCATGTGAGTCACAATACAAATATCTACATCAAAATTTTATGTGTGAAAGTAAAAATTAAGAGTAAAAAATAGAGTAAACATAACATTTTCCTTTTCCACCTTCTGTAAACTTTTCCCATGGCGGCAACTTATTTCTTGGGAAGAATGTGACTACCGGTGGCGGACCACCCGGTTCAGGGCAGAATTCAGATGCTCTTAGTGACAATATCCATCATTATTTGGCAATTCAAATATGTCATCCATGTCAGCTGGAATGATTTCTGGTGTGGTTATTGCTGTTGTTGTAATTCTTGTGGTTGTATTGGTTGTCTCATACGTGTTACTATTTTTTTTACGCGCATTACGCGAATGAGATAATGCTTAATGATTATTTTAAATAAGTACTTCAAAGTATATCAATGTAAGATTATATAGGAGATGTTCATGCATATGTAATTGAATGTTGAATTTGTTTATATTTAAATAAATAATTCAAAGTATATAAATGTAAGATAATACATGAGAGATTGATTATAATTGTCACTAAAATAAACGTTTACAACTTTGTAATAACGTTAATCTAAATTTTTAGTCTACAAACGATAGTCTAAATAAATACTAATTTTGGTTTAAATTCTCCTAACATTTAGTCTTTAACGATAGTCTTTTCAATTCTCTTTTGGGTAGCATTGCCTTTGTCTTCATCTTCAGTACGTATTTGTCATTTTTTTTAATTGGTAGTGTGTCATGTGCAATTGGATTACTGGTGGTAGCATAGAGAGCATCGTCAGACAATGAGATTATGATATAAGAAGTTTTAGATTTGTCTTGCTGTGTATATGATGTGAGCTTAATTGTACTTGTTTCTCTTTTTAATTTGAATCTACTTGTGGGCTTAAGTTCGTTAAATTGTTACTCTTAGTGCCTATTTCCTTGCTTTCTCATGAAGATATGGTCTAATACTTGTTTTGAATGTTTTACGGTGTTTGTTAGTGTTTTGAAACCGTTGTAGTGCAAATGCAAAAGAAAGTGAAGCCTTTAAAGCATGCTTGGAGTCAAAACAAAGTTGGGGTGCTGATACAGGAGATGGCTCGACGCGTCCAAAATTTCCAGCAGCTTAGGATGTTCGAAGGTCGAGGACTCGACGCGTCGAAACTTTCCAGCGCGATGCGAAGAAAGGCGGGAATCAGGACTTGACGCGTCGAGAATTCGTTATTTGGATTTGGAAAGTGGCACGGAAACTTCCTAATTTATCTCTACTTGGCACCTGCTATAAAAAGCCCATCTTTCCTCAACCCTAGAGAATCAAGCTGCATTTTGGAGACAAGAAAAGAGGAGATCAAGAGCTACAAGTTGTCTTGGGAATAAAGAAGAAAAGCTAGGAAGATTTGGGAGAATCACTTGGTCTATTCTTTTACTTTCTTTGTTGCTTGTGAACTCTTTTGTATTATTGTAACGAATTCTATTTTAGCTTGGCTAAATATTCACTTAGGAATTTTTGGGTTAAAGTGTTTATGAACCCATGTGCCTTGTTCTTAAATTCATTAATATATTTACTTTTGGGTTTACAACTTGTGCTGCAACTATGTTCTATATTGTTGATGCTAGTAATTAAGGATCCAAATTACTTGTTTCATAGCTATCTTTATGTCTTAATGGGAGTTAGGGCATATTTTAGAGCACCCACAATTGTACTTAACTATTGCACCTTAGGAGATGACATATTTGTTAAGGAGTTAACTTTTGACGATTGCACGTTAGGAGATGGCAGATTAGTTAAGAGTCTACATTGAATACTTGTTCTTAAATTGTTGAGTGTTTATATCATGGAAATGAATATTAACTCGCATTATTTTAGGTTGGAATTATGGGAGTAATTTCTTCCTTTGTTTGCATTCTCACACTTGTTTGAACCCGAATTAAATATTGATCCTTAGATTGGCACTAGGTGATTAAACACTTGAATACCAGAAATTCTATTCTCTCTCTATTGTTTTCACAAACCTGCTACTCTTTTCTTTTAATTAGTTTTACAATCAACCATCCGTGATTTTCGTTAGGATTAGCTTCACAAGAATAAATTAATTAGTAACTAGTGCTTAATATGTCCCGCTTCCATGTGGATCGATAACCCGATACTCCGGGTAATTATTTGTTTGAGGAATATACTGCAACCAAATTGGCCCCGTTGCTGGGGAAGTGGCGTTTAAGTATTGACATTAGTGAAAGTTTTATTCTAGGAGTATAATTCATTTTTTGTTTTACTTTATTTTTGCTAACCGATAACAAGTTTCTTTTGTTGAGTTGTGATCTTTGGATTTAAGAACTTAGTTTTGTATCTTTTGGGAAAGAATGATTATTGCCTTTGGACCTTGAGATTGAAAAGAGAGCCAAGTTTCTTAGAAAGCAAGAAAGGATGGCCCATGGATAGAACCAAATCAATTTGAATCTCAATGGAGATGGAAATGATAATGGAGTCAATCAACCACCACCTGTGGGGAGAGCCATGTAAAAATGACCATCGGGATGATAATCAACATTCAAAAGGAAAGAACGGTACTCCAGGAACAATGAAGTGATTTGTTATGATTTGATTATCTAATCGAGGGATTACAATAATAGAGATAAATAGACTCCATATACAATAGGCTATAGACTAGGAAAGTAATACCAAGTATTCCTAATATATCTAACACTCCCCCTCAAGCTGAAGGTTGGAGGGAGACAACATTGAGCTTGTCACGTAGCACTCCAAAGCGCTATGCTGGCAGAGGCTTCGTGAAAATGTCGGCGAGCTGGTCTTTCGTAGACACAAAGTTAACCAGGAAGTCCCCTGAGGCAACCTTTTCACAGACGAAATGAAAGTCGATTTCAACGTGCTTGGTTCTTGCATGAAACACCGGATTGGCGCACAGGTAAGTGAACCCAAGATTATCACACCAGAGTGTTGCTGGTTTACCAGAATCAAGACCTAGTTCACGTAGGAGTGATACAACCCACGTGACTTCTGCTGAAACGTCAGCCAACCCCTTGTACTCGGCCTCAGTCGACGATCGGGCAACGGTGCGCTGCTTGTGAGAAACCCATGAAACCAAGTTGGAACCAAGAAACACTGCACACCCTGGTGGACTTGCGATCAATCGGACACCCAGCCCAATCCGAGTCTGAAAAGACATGGATATCTGAAGACGGTGTGGAAGAGAAGCGAAGGCCATAGTCGAGTGTGCCTCTGATATACCGCAAAAAGCGTGGACAGACTCTCCTCTACGGAAGGAAGACAGCTCGCCACAAGCCTTGAGCACATAAGGAAAAGCAAAACCACGTGATCGTATTGATCAAATTGTTCCACTAGAACACAAGCTGCAAGCACGTCGTTTCTGGGTTAGCCGAGAGGCCGCCGGCGACTATGAGCTTGGCCTAGATAGAAGACTTGCATGGTTTCAGAAAATCGGAGAACGCTGAAGAGGATGGTGCCGAAGAGGAGAAGAAGTAGGTAACAGTGGTTGAAGAAGAGCGGAGGACAACGAAGTTCGAGAATAGCACGTGAAAGGACACAATTGCCCTCCCACTTCACGGTTGTTTAACAACAAATGTAACGGTGGACAAAAAATGTCCACCTTTTAAAAAGGCTGGGTAAAATGTGGCTAAATTAATAAAACTTGACAAAATGTGTCTATCGCGCAATAAATGTAGGACCAAAAGTGGATTTAACTCCACTATTTTAATATTCCAAGAATTCTACTTATGTTTATCTTCTTGTCTATATTGATGACATTCTAGTTATGGGCAGTGATCCCAATCTTGTGAATTATCTATTGTCAAAATTATCTACCGCTTTCAAAATTAGGGATCTTGGTGAACCGGGTTTCTTTCTTGGTATTGAAACCATTAAATGCAATGATGGAATTCTTTTATCTTAACAACGGTATATGATGGATATTTTAAAACGTGTCGGTATGACTGATTGCAAACCTCTTTCCACTCCAATACCTGTTTCAAAATCACTTGTTACCTCTACAGATTTGTATGATGATCCTACACAGTATCGGAGTTTGGCTGGAGCTCTTCAGTATCTCACTATCACCAGACCAGATTTAATTTATCCTTTATAGTCAATTAACTTTGTCAGCACATGCATGACCCTACAGTCACCCATTGGGAACAAGCCAAACGTGTGTTGAGGTATGTCAAGGGGACTCTATCTTATGGTTTACGTATTCGAAAATCTGAGTCAAGAGAGTTGCATGCATTCTCGGACTCAGACTGGGCTGGCTGCCCTGAGGATCGTAAGTCAACCAATGGTTATGCTGCTTTTCTTGGGTTAAATCTTGTATCTTGGGTATGCAAGAAGCAAAGAACTGTTGCAAGATCCTCTACGGAGGTTGCATACAAGGGTTTAGCTGATGTTTGTGCTGAGATAATCTGGGTTCTCTCCCTCTTACGTGAGATTGGCGTCACTTTTCTGTTCTAAAGCTGTGGTGTGATAATCTTGGTGCTACATATCTGTGTGCTAATCCTATTTTTCATGCTCGCACTAAACATGTTAAAATTGACTATCAGTTTGTGAGTGACAGAGTTGCCAAGGGAGAGATTCATGTCCACTTTATTTCCACCAAAGATCAACTTGCTGAAATATTTACAAAAGCTTTAGCAGGTCCTAGGTTTTCTTTTGTTAGAGACAAGCTACATGTCACATCTGTACCCTGTGCTTGAGGGGGAGTACGTATTAGGACTCTATCTATGTATTTTGAGTCTACTTATGATTCCCAATCTTAGTCTCCGTCTCTTCTTGTATATATACATAGGTCTTGTACTACTGTAATTCATCATTGTTAATACAATTCATTACAGTTCTCATCATCTTGACTAGTTTTCTATCTCAAATATAATCATCAATAATGATGTACGCCTATTCTTTTTTAATTTCATTTACTATATTTTAATATAGTTTTATATCTTGTTTATAATCTAATTCCTAGGAAGGACATAAATGATATAAAGAGATTTTTAAAAGTTTCATATAAAAGTTTAAATGAACCAAATATCTTATTTAATTTTGTAAGTAATTTAATTCTTATATTTTCAAGGTAATTTAACATGTAATTAATTTTTCCCATAAAGTCATTTCCATCAAATACATTCCTTAAAAGTATTTTATCAAAAGTATAATTGAATATTAGAGGTGTTAAAGTGGATCGAAACTTGCAAGTCAATCCTAAACTGCATTGCAGTAGGGCGAGCTAGGGCCTAAAGTTTTTGGTCCGAACAGGCTGCGTGTCTCCATACAAAATAGTATATATATATATATACATACACACAACATTAAAAATTAAAAAATTAAAATTTTCTAATTTCTAAAGAAGGAATAATCTAATATTATTTAGGTTAAATTATTAAAATATAGTATAATATTATTGTAAGTTTTTTTTATAAAAAAATTGAAGTTGGCCCACAGGGTTTCATAGTCCTAGCTCGCGGGCCGCCCCGAAAAGGCCAACAAAAAAAGCTCAATGCGAGGCGGACGACAAATTATTGTATAGACCATGCATATACGGTACATTTTTAATATACTTTCAACATAATGAATCTACATTATTTGATAGTATATAAAATAATATACTTTTTGTGCTCAAATAATGTAATTTACGTAGACAAATAATGTAATTTTAGTATATTAAAAATATACTTTTTATTTATAGTCCACACAGCTGTGTGGATCATGGTCCATGTAATAATGATTGGATGCTGATCTAATGGGGCGGGATGACACGCATTAAACATCATTACCGTTATCTTTTTTTTTTTTTTTTTTTTTTTTTTTTTTTTTTTTTTAGATATAAACATCTTTACCGTTATAACTTCTATTATCTCACCCATTAATATTATTGTAAATCTACATCTATCATTTTTTTTTCTTATTTATTATTATTATTATTATTATTATTATTATTATTATTTAAAAGTCAACCATTTGATGCAAATTTCTTACTTGGGCAAATTGGGCAACTAACAATAACATGGTTCCTCCACCCACGATTAGACCCCGACGCTCAATGGCCTACGCAAAAGCTCTATTCTTCTTCTTCCGTTTACTACTTTTAATTAACCTCCTTACTGTTTCATTTTGCGATGACGCCGCCGTCATGGCTAAGCTCTTAGCCGCGCTCTCTCCGACGCCCTCCGGCTGGTCCACCTCTGCAGATTACTGTGCTTGGGACTATGTCGCGTGCCAGTCCGGAAATGTGTACATCATCAGCCTCGCCTCCCAGTCCATCTCCGGCGAACTCCCTTCCGAGCTCACACAGCTGGCGTCTCTCCGATCACTTTCCGTCCAGCAAAACTCCCTCTCCGGGCCCTTGCCGTCTTTCGCTAATATGTCTAGCCTAGAAGAACTCTACCTAGACAGCAATGAGTTCAGCTCAATTCCCCAAGATTTCCTCTTGGGTCTTCCCAATTTGGGGACTTTCAACATTTCCGACAATGACAAACTCAGCCCATGGCAAATTCCTAGTTATTTGGCCGAAAGCACATACTTGGGATCTTTCTGCGCGAGCAACGCCAGCATCATCGGTGCCATTCCTAATTTCTTCAATTCTTTCCCGAATCTCCGGAACCTGGGATTATCCTACAATAACCTCGCCGGGTCTCTGCCTGCGTCGTTTGGGAGCTCTGAGATACAGAATTTGTGGCTGAATAACCAACAACAGGGGCTCTCGGGGACTATTGATGTGCTTTCCTCAATGACCCAACTCTCCCAAGTATGGCTTCATGCCAATGCCTTCACGGGTCCCATCCCTGACCTTTCCAAATGCGTAAATCTCTTCGATTTGCAGCTCAGAGACAACCAATTGACCGGGGTTGTACCAGTTTCCATAACGGGTCTTCCGAAATTGGTGAACATTACTCTTCAGCACAACACTTTGCAGGGTCCCATGCCTGAGTTTGGAAATAACGTCAAGAAGAATCTTGGTAATGGTTTCTGTAATGATAAACCTGGACCTTGTGATCCACAAGTGACTGCACTTCTTGCTGTTGCTGGGGATCTTGGCTATCCAATCACGCTCGTCCAATCTTGGCATGGGAATAATGCGTGCAACAATTGGGCACCTATCTCATGTGATGCACAGGGGAATGTGATTTCCCTGACTCTTAGAAAGCAGGGGTTTTCAGGTACTATTTCACCCGCACTTGCCAATTTAACTTCATTGAGGAACCTGTATTTGAATGATAATAATCTTACTGGCCCAATCCCGGAGAGCTTGACAACTTTGCCTAATCTTCAAGAACTAGAAGTGTCCAATAACAATTTGTCTGGGCCTATACCTGTTTTTCCACCTTCTGTAATCTTTTCTCATGGCGGCAACTTATTTCTTGGGAAGAATGTGAGTATTGGTGGATCACCGAGTTCAGGCCAGAATTCAGATGCTCTGATCCCCAGTGACAATCCATTATCTGGCAATTCAAATGGGTCCTCCATTTCAGGTGGAATGATTGTTGGTGTGGTTATAGCTGTTGTTATTGTTGTTGTGGTTGTGTTTTTTGTGTCTTACAAGTGTTACATGAAGCGGCAACATAAGATGAAGGTTAATGTAAACGGCACTACTGTTTCGATTGAGATAAAGAAACGGGACATAGTTGATTATGGGAGAACTTTTCCTGCTCTCGAAGATGGAAACATTTCTATTCCAATCCAAGTTCTTCAAAAAGCCACCAACTTTTTCAGTCATGAGAATGTGTTAGGAAGTGGAGGATATGGGGTGGTTTACCTGGGTAAACTAGATGATGGAACTAAAGTTGCTGTGAAGAAGATGAAAGATGGGGCAATGCATACTAAAGGAATGAATGAGTTCCAAGCAGAAATTGCCTTTCTTACCAAAGTTAGGCATAGGAATTTAGTTGCACTAATTGGTTATTGCATCAATGACAACAATAGACTTTTGGTCTATGAGTATATGTCACAAGGTACATTGGGTCATCATTTATTTGAATGGGAGAAGCATGGCTTTGATCCTCTAAGTTGGAAGCAAAGGGTGAGCATTGCATTAGATGTGGCCAGGGGAATCGAGTATCTTCATAGCTTCGCTCATCAAAATTTCATTCATAGAGACATAAAGTCCTCGAATATTCTTCTTAGTGATGACATGAGAGCCAAGGTCGCGGATTTTGGATTAGTTAGAAAGGCTCCAAATGACAAATCTTCTTTTGAGACTCGAGTGGCTGGAACATTTGGTTATCTTGCACCTGAATATGCTAGTAAGTATTAGTTATGGCATATTTAATTTTTACAATTTGAGATATATTATATGATTTTTTCAAGTAATATGATTGTGTGTAACTAATAAGCTAGATAGATGTTTTTTTTTTTTTTTTTTTTTTTTTTTTTTTAAAGAAGAAAATCTAGATAGATATTTAAAAAAACTAACCCAACATGCAATGATGATAAAATTTTAAATATGTTTGGCAAAAACTTGTGTGAACCCGTTTTACGAATTCATATCCGATCCCATGAGATGGACAAGTTGTAGACAACTTGGTGGGTAAGTATCATAATTTCAGTTATAAGTATTACAATATTTATCATTAGTAACAATTATTTTATCCTAAATAATATTAAAGTTTCACATATATTATTACAATATTTATAAGTAACAATTTATTTATTTTAAATTTATATATTAAAATTTATGTAATAAGTATTATGATTTCTATCATAAGTAACGAACAACTACCCTAGTTTTGACATGTCTCACGAATTCAAATCCATAAAACGGTCTCACAGATTAAGATCCATGAGACGATTGTCTCACACCAGTGTGAGTCAACATATTTAACTTGATTTTAAACTCATTCCATTGACATTTTTACATTAAATTTTATCTTGTACTCCCTTTGTCCCATTTTATCTGTCTTACTTGCTATTTATTGGTCTAACTAACTCTTTCTTCTTTGTTTATTTTCCTTAGTATTTTTTACTTATTTTTAAATTTGATTTTTTGTGTTCAATAGTACTTTTAGTGTAGTTTCTAAATATATAAATTTTGTATACTAACATTAAACTTACTTTTATGAAAAATTGAATTAAAAATAACTTCAGTCAAGCCTCGTTAACCGAACCAGACACATAAAATGGGACGGAGGGAGTAATATATTTACTCAACATATTTAACCCGATTTTAAACTCATTCCATTAACATTTTTACATTAGATTTTAGCTTGTAATATATTTACTCAACATATTTAACCCGATTTTAAACTCATTTCATTAGCATTTTTACATTTTTTTGAATACTTATGACTCTATTATAATGTCGTATCTATTCATAACTACTTTCTCAACTAATTAAAGCAAAAAGAGTCAATATCACTTCTACTGAGGCTTAATCCCAATTAGCATTTTTACATTAAATTTTAGCTTGTAATATATTTTCTCAGCATATTTAAGCCGATTTTAAACTCATTACATTAACATTT